TAATATAAAGGACTTCAACCCACAACTCTACTATCATAATGCTTATGCATCAAAGAGACCTTCTATAGTAATGCTTTTGTATCATAGACCTTTTTTTAAAGAGTATTAACAGTGCTATAAACATTACTAATATTCTCCTTAACTACTCGTGGTAAGCTTAAATTGCTTGTGTTAACGAGTGGTTCACGCCAGTAGTCGAATGGCGGATTCGAACCCACGACCTTTTTGAGATCACGGTCCGCGCCCATTAGGCTACTACTAGTAGCCTAATGGCAGGGAATAGACCTTACTATTATATTGTATTTAATATATGGGACTTCAACCGACAAATCTTTATTGTGCTGATAATTCATCATAGAGACCTTCGTCATCAAGGTTCTAGGTGTATTTTAAAAGGAGTAAATTCATAATAAATAAATAATTTAATATATATAATAAGAGAGAGCGTTACAAGTAGAACAAATGTTTTAATAACAGGTTCAAGAGAATGGAAAAGTGTATTCAACTAAGTGGTGAATTCTTTGAAAAACAATAAAGTACTAAAGGTTATAGGGTAGTTTTTTTGGTAAAACGAGAAAAGTTTTAAGTATGTACATATTCGACCAACTGTGGACTTTGACGAGCTATTAAAGAAAGGGAGAAGAAAGATGTGTGAGTGATTGCGTGTCAAGAAGTTGAACATGGTTTTGCGTGGTGTCTTGTCTATCTTTTTTAATCGTCAGAGCTTTTCACTAATATAGTGAAGAATCGAACCTATTGACCGATGATTGAACTGATTTAATATTAATTTTTTTTAAATATGTAAGAGCTATTGTGTGTAAATTAAATATTGATAAACATTTTTTTGTTATTTGAACTAATATTACAATTGGAATTAATTCACAGCTATTCAGCATTCATTATATTGTAATCAAAATGCAACATATAAAAAAGGAATTTATTGAACGTAGAGGCAGTGCCTCTGTGGCATTGCTTATGTTGTGTATGGTTAAGCACATTAGTATTAAAAGATTTTTATAAAATCAATTATTTGTTCTGGTGTTGTTATCGACGAAGATAAGGAGTATATTGTGAGTATTTTAGATATTGTTAATTACTATATTAAAATACCACCGTTGCCAAACCGTTTGCAAAGCGTGGCAACTATGGCAAATATCTATGGGGGAGGCCCATGTTCAGCAATGGGTTCAATCCGTGTTGTGTATTTTTTTATTGTGCGATATATTTTTTAATTAATTTTGCCTATATATATATATATATATATATATATATATATATATATATATATATATATATATATATATATATAGCTATCGGGCCCCGGCTTATCAGGCCATTCAAACACACAAAAAATATCGAAATGAGTTGAACCATTTTCGAGTTTTAGCGAACAAAACGGACAGGAATTGATTTTTACATATAGGGATAAATTTGGCTTCAATATTAATAATTCAGGAGCCCTAGCCTAATCTAATGATGCAGTATCGGTGCAAGAATATTTACTACTTATATCGTTGACATTCTTATACCGTCACGTGGGTGACGTGAAACACAAAAGAGGGAAACCTACGACATGGTCAAAAGCATATTCCTGATAACATACTCAAAGTTATAAATAATTGCAGTTCGCAACCGCTTGCTAAGCGTGGCAACTATAGCAAAATCGTACGTTCTATAAAATATAGTTCAGCAGTGAATATAGGCTGTAACGGATGGATGCCTTATTGTGAGCTTCTACCATGTGCTCAGCAGAAAAGAAAAAATTGTGGACAAACGAAATTTCGAAAACATTTACTTTATTTTGAGAACTTGTTAAGTTTGCCAATCGCACTGAACTGCATTGCAAAGAAAAATTTCAGAATTTATATTTTCCCGATTTATAATAGGTTCAGAATAAGTGATGTAGCCAAACGGTTATGAAAAATTAATTAAAATTATTTTTAACCATTCTACCTTTTTATCTTTTAAATTTAAAATGCGTTATTTTAACTGATTTTATTGCGCACGCACATATACGTAGGGGTCGATCGATAGGCAAAAACATTGTTGCCCATAAATCACATTCTATTTAGGATAATTTCAAAAAAAAATAGAAGCATTATTTACTCATATTTTTGATATCATAGATGATTCCTGCCTTGAATTCTGTAGACTCCGAACGTGTCGGTTGAGGTCACTCCCGTCACTCTACTCTATTAGTTCAATTGCGCGACTTATATTAGTGGACTTTCTACCTGGCTTGCTGACTGGTAATCTAGGTTTCGTTCGTCACTAGTCGCTTCCACCCGCTAGTTAACAGTAAGAGCAAATTGTCCTTAAGACACAAGCTCCATCTCTACAAGGCTTGCTTAAGACCTATCCTGTTCTATGCAAGCGTAGCCTTCGCACACGCGGCTCATAAACAATTGTACGACCTCCAAGTCGTCCAAAATAGTAGCATTATACGCGTCACCACCGGAGTTCAGTGGTACCAACGAAACTCAGACATGCACAGAAGTTGACAACTTCCGAAGATCTCTGAATATTTCAAGGAAACGTCTCGGCGCTACTTTGAGAGCGTTAAGACACATCTCAACACGCTAGTGGTAAACGCAGCAACCTACGATTCTACTCCAAACGTTGAGCAAACCTCTGGAGGCCCCGTAACGTTTTAATTAAACCCTCAGTTCTCAGCTAGATCACGACGATACAAATGTCACCGGCCCGTCACACATAGACACTACATATTCGCCTACTGCCACAAATACTGTTAGTACAACGGATGGGACAAAGATGGGCGCACTGCATACCCCTCCACACCGCGTACACAACGTACACCCGCGTCCCTGGGCGGTTTTCTGTACACTGTCATAGGAGTCACTGTTACGCAAGTAACGATGCGGAATGATTTAAATTAACTTTTTACAGAGACTTAAGAAGCTGTAAAAGCCAAAAAACTAACAGCATTTACATCATCAGAAACCATAGAGAAAAGTATTTTCAAAAACTGTAGTAACGGTATACCTCAAACTCTGAAAACTAGATTGTACAACCAGTGCGTGTTACCAGTGATGACTTACGGACTTGAGACGTAGTCCTTCACTGCTGGCCGTATGAGGACGCTCAAGGCCGCTCAGCGAGCTATGGAGAGGGCTATGCTCGGAGTTTCTCTGCGTGATAGACTCAGAAATAAGCATATCCGCAGTAAAACCAGAGTGACCAACATAGCCCAACGGATTAGTAAGCTGAAGTGACAATGGGCCGGCCATATAGTTGGAAGAACCGATAACCGATGGGAAAGCAAAGTTCTCGAGTGGCAACCTCGTACCGGTAGGCGTAGTGTAGGGTGACCCCCCACTAGATTTAGTGAAGACCAGGTAAGACATGCAGGAAATCGATGGATGCAGGTGGCTCAGGACCGTGCTTTGTGGCATTACTTGGGGGAGGCCTATGTTCAGCAGTGGACTTGTGAAGGGCTGTAATGATGATGATGAATAACGGCATATCATTATTTATACATTTGAACTTAAGGTGCGTGTTTGAACAAAATGCTGCGCTAGCCGTTATTTGCGAGGTTTTAGGAGCTATCTACTCGTTATTAAAAAGATATATCAACTAAGAAAAAATCTATTAAATTTCTACTCTTAATTTCATAATAGCCAACTCCAATTTTTTCAATAGGAGTAAATACTTGATGAATCTTTTATTGATTGTTAGATACGATTTCATGCGAAAAAAAGTTGGATTCTTGATTTTTAGGTGCTGGTAGAACATACCTACGCACTTTGCGCTTAAAATATGCAATTTGGCTACTCTTTGAAAAATAACCCTGTATATTGTATGTATAATTTTCGTTAGAAATCAGTCCACCTGATGGTACGTAGGTGTTAAGGTTCACACACACGTTTGTCTTCTGTCGCTTGCTATAAATTTCACAGAGCCAGGATTTGATCCATCGTGAAACATAGGAGAAGCTTATAAGGAAACCTGCATATCTGTGAAGTCCGCAAACACACATTGGGGTAGCGCGGTGAACACTTATTTGCCCTAAAACCCTTTTAGAAATGGGAGGAGGCATGTGCCGAAGAGAGGGATGCATATAAATTTACCTTTCCTTTTTTAAATTAAGTGCGGATGCATTATTTCCCTTCAGCTCGACCGGGGAGGGACCACGCTCTCACACAATACCAGCGTCAAATGGTAGCTTAATGCTGCTGTGTTTCGTATGGTGAGTGTAGAGAACCGCAAACCATTTTTACTGGAAGAGAGGCATTCCATCCTAGTCCTTAGGGCTGACAACGCATCTGCATTTTGATTCGCAAACGAGGATAGATGTAGATGTCTATGGGCCACAGCAACCACTTACCATCAGGTGGACTGTGTGCTCGATTGATTGTCACCCTTCTCCTATATATATATATATATATATATATATATATATATATATATATATATATATATATATATATATATATATATATATATATATAAGGAAATATTACTTTGGAACTGTTATTAAGAGGGTACTGACAGCTGCCAATTTTTTGTTTCATTTGTTTCAGTCGCCTCTTACGACACTCTCGGGACGATAAGAAGCGGTAGATATTTTTTTATTGGGATCCACTACTACATATTAAAGACATAATAAAATACTTATTGAAAGTAATTTTTCCTTCTAACACTGGTTCGAAAAAAGCCTCTATCCCCGAAAAGTTTAGAAAGAAACCCAGCTTTATTAAATGTTAATTTACAAGACATGTTGTACAATAAACCCCTTGCCCTGCTTTAGTGCGTAATCGTGAACGTTATACGTCTGCTAAATATTTTATTCCTCACTATTTCCTTCTTCACCGAGCACATGGTAGGTCGGCACTTATAAATGCAAATTTCTTTTTTTACCGGCAAGGATTGAATTCGATATCCCCGCGTATTAAGAAATTGATGACGAGCTCCTGAAGAGCTACCTTCACCTTCACGGAAAAGTTCGTGTATCAGTAATATTCTACATTATTACAGAAAAAATGGTACCGACACCTCAAGAACCAGAAGTAATTCGGCACGAGAGAGAGGAGTACCTCAAATCCGGAGAAAGAGTTGTTATTTCCGGGATGTCGGGTCTCTTTCCCGATTCCAACCATGTGAAGAATCTTGCTGACATTTTGTATAGCAAGGTAAGTTATTATATAATACTGCATGTCTAAAAAATAGCCTATTGTCTTTTTCTTCAATATTTGTTTATTTTTGTAATTTTAGTATTTACTTGATGTACAATATAGTGTATTGTATTGTAAGTTGAGCATGGTTTTGTTTTATTTTTTCCGTTGATTTCAAATTTACGTAGCGCTACGTCTTTATTTCTTTGTTAGTCTGAGACATTATCATATATTCTTTATACTTTATACTTATCCATACTCTTAGCAAGTGCGAATGTGCTAAATATCTTTATTTGAGGAACTTGCAATGCTCGATATATTTTTAGCCGATTTCAAAAAGGAGATTAGATAAGATTAAAGGATTAAAGAAGATTCCTCATTCAACTGTAAGGTTTTTTAAATGGATGTTAAGAAATATCTTCGTCAATAGTGAACCGATATTGATTATTCGTTTTTTAATTAAATAGTTATACTTATGGGATAGATCAAAATTAATAAAGAAAAAATTCACTCCTAAGGATGGCAAAATAGGGGATGAAGATTTTAAACGACAATCGGATTGTCATATACACTTAGATTATTTGAGTGAATAAATCTAAGCATATACCTTAATCCACAAAAAGGGTAAAATAAATAACTTTGAATTTTTTCTATTATAGTGTTGACAAACGATACACGGTCCACCACATGGTAAGTGCATAGGCGTAGACAGAGAAACCTATCCTATACCTTTAAACAAGCAATTCTTGTATATATATAATCGGAATCTCGGAAACGGCTTCACCGATTTTCATAAAATTTTGTGTGCTGGGATTTTCAGGGGCAATAAATCAATCTAGCTAGGATTTATTTTTAGAAAATGTCTTTTTTGTCCGTGTTTTTAGGCAATGAAAACTGCTAAAATGGGTCCAATTGCGTTTCTTTGGCGCACTTAAATAATGCCGAATAATAGACTAAATTAGTCTAAAATTCGTACTAATATTATTGCTATTGCGTTTGTTAATTAATTACGTCCACAACACTATTTATGTCCAATTCGGACTTAAATTATGTCTACGCATGTCTTTTGCTATTCCGTTTCTGACAATTTGACAGTTCGTTGGCTTTAAATGAACTTATATGTCTAGGAAGTGTTATTCTGTGTTCGCACCTATTTAGTCCGTACGTAACCTAAATTTCTTCAGAAAATAGTGAAAAATGTTTCCTTATGGCTGGGCTATCATTCAAAGAAGACACAATGAAGAACGGCAACGGTATGAGTACGAAATTTATATTATAGAAACTGCTTTTCTTGTATACGGTAGGTATAAGCATAACATGACCTAACTTTTTTCGTTGTAGGGCTGCGAGAAGGATAGCGCATCGCCATATTCGGGACCATTCCAACCCTTTCGACGTGCCTGCAGAGGTTTTTACCAAATTATACAGGCTCTCCAAAAGAACTGCACATTTTTAAGTGGAGTGTCTTCACCAGAATTTAAATCGACAAAGGCAGCACGGAATTCCTGTGCATATCAAAGTTTTGGCTTCACTTCATATCTTCGAACATGGCGGCTACCAAACAACGGTTGGGCAGGGGCAGTATTTAGGTTTAAGTCAGCCATCTGTAAGCAAATGCTTACAAGAAGTTGCTGATGCAATTATAACTGTTATTAAACGGTATGGTGCTATTTCTAGAGACTGAAGAGGAAAAGGCAGAAAATAAACAGAGGTTTTTACAGATAGCTGGGTTTCCTTCAGTCTTGGGTTTGATAAAAAAATCCATAAAGCGAAAATTATGACTGTCGTTTCGTTATATATTTATAGATCGCTTCTAGAAGTACACCAGGAAAAAAGTAAACTACCAATGAAGAAGCACGTACATAACTACAATTCTATAAATCGCGAAAGATTAGTTGTTCCAAGAACCAGATTAGTCAAAGTGTTCAAGCAAGGTTTTGCAATAAAAATTATAATGTACAATAAATTTCCAATAGAAATAACAAGACTTCCGCTAAATGCGTTCCGACTAGTGATAAAAACATTCTTTTTAAATCACGCTTTTTACAACATAGAAGAATATATGCAATGTTCATTTTTTGACTTGTTTGACACATAAAATAATGTACTGTAAATGAGATGTATCTTAATTATATTATTGTAATTGTATAATTTGTAATTTTAACTATATTATTGTATCTATATAATTGTAATTGTAATTTTGACGTACCAATGTTACGTAATGTAACGTAATGGCAAATAAATAAATAAAATAAATAGATAGACTGTAGTCAAATCTCCATTGTTCGCCCAAAAGACACAGCACTTGTGCCAGTGAGATTATTTTTTAATCGCAAGGGCTTTTATAGTCTTAATTGCCAATTTGTATGTAATGCAAAGATGGAAATTATTCATTTCAATGCCGCTTTTCCTGGATCAGCACATTATGCAGCGGTCTGGCAAGGATCCAGTTTGAGCCAATTATTGGAAACCAATTATGTTAACGGAGTTTCAGCTGGTGAATGGCTTCTAAGAGACTCTGGATATGCCCAACTGCCTTGGCTGATGACCCCGTATGTTAATGCGGATGAAAATACACCTAAGGCTAGATATAATTTAGCGCATACCAAAACGAGGGTACTTATTGAAAAATGTTTTGGAGTGATGAAAACAAGATTTAGATGCATTCACAAGCACAGGACGTTGCATTATGACCCCGTGAAGGCATCTAAAATAATAGCAGCCGTAGTTGTTCTCCATAACGTGGCAATTAGGAGAAATGAACCTTTACCAGATGAATTGGAACTCGAAGACAGATTGCGGCCAGCAGATGATCCGCCCAGGGATATGAATTTTTTAAATGTGGCAAGAAATATTCGAAATAACATCACAAGACAATACTTTGCATGATGTGTTTTAATTAAAGATTTAAATTAAAGAATTAATAAAATCTTAATTTCGAAAAAATAGTTTATTTATTTTTATTGATCGCTTCGACGAACATGGTAGCGTCACACATTATGCAATCGCCAAGATACCGAGCGGCTTCTGTCTCCGCATTGGCGAGCGCCATCTGCGCTTGGGCTCCCTCCCTTAAAGCCGCTATCATGGCATCTTCTTGCGGGGTGGCTGAATTGGCTGGCGGCACGAGCGTACGGGGCGTTGCTCGACGTGCGTTGCGGCGCTCGAGGCGCGGAGTGTTGCGCACCACGCCGTCCTCCAGCCTCTGTTCAGGGGTTGAGGCCACGATGTGTTCACGACTGCAACTGATCGTCGCCAGATTCCTATTTGCCGCTGGCATCATCAACGCGTCTACCGCAATTCGACCAACACGAGATGCTGTCGGTATTGATGACGCGTCCGTCGCCATTGAAGTGACGACAGTCGCGACTCGACATCTTGACTCGCCGTCGGTGTCAACGCGTCCAGTATAGCCGCTTTCTTCGGGGGCTTTTCTTCAGTGTCTGAATGTATATCCTGCGTAGTACAATTACAAGGATAAATTCATACAATTGTACCACTATGAAGTCAATTTCAGAATACCATTATGCATAAAACTCTTTTTTAACATGACTTCAGTATTTATTACTCATACCATTAATAATGCGGTTATTCCATAATTACCAAAATTGACCATAACGCTTAATGAAAACTACATCAAAATGTAATCAGTAGAACTCAAGTCATAATAAGGGCACCGTTTAAACTTATTTATAAAACTAACAAATCTTATTTATATGTATATAATAATGTTGTTGTGAATAAGTAAAATATACTCACAACTGTTACTGCGTCTAAAATCAATGTCTGCTTGGGCTTTGGCAGTTGAGTATCATCCAAAACCTGTAGTCAAAATAAAATCAACTTAACATCAGACCATTACTGGTAATAAATATCACGACTGCTACAAGCACTGCCATAACACACTCACCATGACTATGTTTTGTTTAACATGAGGATCATGTCATCCGGAACATCAACAATGGGCTGTGGAGTCCCTGGGACAATAATAATACCCTGTAAGAAATTTACAAGTCAAGGATCAAGGTTTTCCGTTCATATTATAAAAGGACATCTTTATAATATTAATGCTATGCAGTTAAATGTATGTAGTTTTCAAAATTAACACAATTGTGATGATTGATGCAATCATGAAAAAATTAGTAAATCCAATATAGAGCTTACAAAAAAACTAACGCCAATAACTTACAGCTTCCACAGCTCCAGGCAATCCATATATAGTTGATGTCCCCTCTATATTTATTGTTTTTTTTCTCCAGTTCTGTCAAGCAGATATCTGCTGGAGGACCACCTCCAGTCCTTTGAATAGATGCACGCTGTGTGCGCACCTTAGCCTTCGCCCTGTGTGCTAATAACTTGTATGTCTGAAAAATTTAGATTATACATTTAACAACAACTAATATCCAAGTGGGTAAAGTAGGTTGGTTATGATTTAACTTTTAAAAGTTCACTGATATATTTAGTACAAAATTAGGACAATTTAATGTATGAAGCACCACAAACTAACCTCTGACCAATCTTTCTGTGTCTTACGAACACCTCGCATTCCATTGAGGGCTTCTGTCAATTCAGTCCACAATCTTTTGGTAGCCGGCAACTGAGAATTTCCTGTTGATAAATAAAGACAAATGAAGTATAGGTAAGTATAAAAACATCATGTTTTATTGGATGCCAATTATTTATATTATATTTTATGTTATAATTTAACGTGAATAAATGATTGTGAATGAAATAACAAACGTTGCAATGAGATATGACTACCAAACTGAATTTACACCGGAATGCTTGTAGATAGGATAAGTTAGAGTGCAATATATGATTATGATCAAATTTAAAATGAACTTGCTATTATGTAAATAGATGGATGGATGAGTAGGGTAAATCGATAGATTAAAATATAACAATTTACACTACTAAAACAAAAATTCACATGAAATATTTTGTAAACATATCGTTAACCGTTTCCGGATTCCTCATCAATAAGTTTAATAAATATTGTTGCTGTTCTTTCTTCATTCTTGGCTTCTTTGTATCCATATTAATTAAAATTTTAATAATTCTTGCGAAAACTCACACAAAAAATAACCACGACAGAATTGACAACTTGACAGACTAGTGGTGTGGTGTTGCCATTTGCGGCGGCAAACGAACGTAATTATGTCCATTTCCATAGACGTAGAATTAAGTTCAAATTTAGTGACGTGAACTTATTTTAACAGAAACGTAATAGCTTTAGGTTAAGGACATGGACATATTTAGTAAAATTTTAGTCTGTCATTATTTAGGTTCGAAGAGAAACGCAATCGGACCCAATATCGTTAGAATAAGAAGGTAAATTTTGACAGTTTATTAATGATTACAAATAGCTTAATTGGTATATTGGGCGGCAAAAATCGTAATGGTCGAGCCCGACCAACCAACATTAATTTTTTTTCATGTTCCTTTCTTTTTTAAAGAAAATTTATTTTTTCGAGCCCTTTTTTAATATTTTTTAAAAAGACGAAAATTTAAATTAAACTAATTGCACTTATGACTTTTTATTCAAATAACGAGTTCAGTTTTTTCTATTATGTCGCTAAGATCAAAAAATATTATTCGTATTTCATCAGTATGTAATTTGTATCTAAATATAATTTCCAAAACACACGAATTGAAAAAAACCGAGCGCAAAATACCGAGCAAAGCTCGGTCAACCGGGTACTAGACTAATGATTAGCGTGGCCTCGAGTGAGAATGGACGATAACGTAGTTTTAGGTTTTACAATAATCTTTATGACTTAAACATATTTAGATAAAAAATTTAATTGTTCTAAGAACTGAACTGAACAATATTTACCAATCTTAAGCTCACGAAACACTTTTTTCTCACTTTAACCAACTCGTAAACTCCGTAGATCGCTACGAACTGTCAACTAAACGAAAAAACCGGCATGGAGAAACGGACAAACAATCACACCGCTCTGTCTCATTTTTATGCAAGACGTATGCATAAATCTATCTTTTTCGTGTGTCAATGCGAAAGAAAGCGTCAATTTGTCTATAGGTTTCTCTGTCTACGTGCATAGGCCTATAGAGATCTACATCTACCTCTGGTTAGTAATTAAAATGCAGATGCCTTTTCACCCCTTAGGTCTAAAATGAAATGCCATATATTTAGTAAAATGGGTATTAAGTTTAGCGGTTATTGCATATTTTCGATTATACAAATTTCAAATACTGAAGTCAGTGTTAGGATATAGTTAAAATAAAAATTAAAACCCCGACTACAAGACGTGAAAATAATTTATTCTTGCTAGTTCTTTGAATTCAGATTTTAATTTTAATTTACATGGTAGAGCCACACTGCAGTTATGATTGTAGTACGAATGGGTCGGCGCCTTAGATTACTTACTCTCCATATAACGCCTCATGCAATTAGCGATGTAACAAAAACGGGCCAGTGTTTACAAGCGTGTGTAGTTTAGTAGATATTTTTAAGACGAATGATTCCGTCCTGCACTGTTGTGCCAGCAAGAGTTGATATATGGCCCGTTGAAGCATATAAGGTCATACCCAGGAACATTACTTACCATTAAATGTATGTAATTACTAATTTCATGGCCCTCTCCTTGAATTGGTTTTTTTTTAAATAATTTGCGTTTTGAAGTCACATCACTTTTACATTATCTAATTTAGCTGTACGATAACAGGATATGGTTAAATATTTTTCAGTGTCCGGTCTTATTAGACTTACTTGGTGAAGTAAACCACACACGTGTTCAGTTTCAACTTTAAAATAAGCATTTTTATGTCCAATAAATTGTTTTACTATACAGGATAAGGATAATATTTTTGTGTGAGTTGGCCTAGTCATTATAAAATTTTGTCTAAGAAACTTTCTGAGTTTAGCCAAACAGTTTTTGAAATATACCCACACACACATGTGTATGTAACACACAACTTACTTGATGTATTTGCTCATTCTGGTGTAGTCGGGTAAAAATGAACATACATCAGCTTTTAAGACAACTATACGGGGAAATTGGCAATCCAAGACTGGCAATACTAAAAACGACGTGTTAATTTTGTGAAAAAAAATTATCAATTTATTAGATTTGTTTTCGTAAATAACTACTAATTTTGAGTTACTTAACGATGGTAGCAGATTTCATTAGTTGTTTATAAACGTTATTTGTAATTTTTGGAGAATTTGATGGCGCAAATTGTCATTTTCACCAAAATAATCTAATGTAAAAATGACCCACGCGTGCGTTGGCATTACAATTGGCACTAAAGAGCGGGGAGTACTTTAGAGGCTAACAGCTGATATTTTTTATCGACGCTTTGGAGCCGCCGTTCCTCCATCTAGAGAGTGAATGTTTCACATTCGAGCACGGGAACTTTTTTTTACTGGAAACGAGGCCTCCATCTTGGTCTGAGAATAGATATAGACGTCTTTTGGCCGCAGTATCGACTAAAAACTAAAGTAAGGAAGGGTTTTAGGATTTTGCGTGACATTTCGTAGAAACCATGAACTATAAAGAACTTGTAGCGATTATCAAAAATAGTTATACGACGATTACTGTATATTGTTATAGTCATAATAATTTTATTTTGTAATTAATAATTTACTACTATGAAATTTTACGTGGTAGAATCACGCTGCACCTATATTTTGATTGCAGCACAAATGGATCGGCTCGACCGGGGTAGATACACCATATCCCAAAATACCAGCGTAAAATAACAGCCTTATGCTACTGTGCTTCGTATAATGTGTGTAGAGAACTAGAGATCATTTTTAATTAGAAATGAAGCATTTCATCTCAGTTCTCAGGAGTGACAACGCATCGTCATCTTGATTCTTATGATGAACATATAGATGTTTATGAGCCACAGCGTCTACTTACCATCAGGTGGATTGTGTGCTCGTTTATTACCTTATTCTATATTTAAAAAAAAACTAGATTCTGTTTGTTACTTTAGATATTTTTAATGTTGATATATTAGAATTTAATTGCTTTATGTTAGCGCGGTAGATATTTTAAAATATATCCCAATTTTGTCTAGAAAAATCCTGTTTCATTGAATCCACGGTGGAATTGCAATCACCCTGAAGTCGCGCAATATGCTGGTCGTATACCAGATTTGGAACTGTTTGATGCCCAGTTCTTCAAGGTGCACCATCGTCTAGGAAATAAAATGGACCCGATAGCTCGCAAGGTTCTAGAACAAGCATACCAAGCAATATACGATGCAGGTATGTTAACTGCCTTTTTTAAATGATGAGTATTATGGGTAATCAATAATATTAAAGATACAAATTAAAATATTAGAGTCATACATTCAAACACGCAAACTCTACTACAATTTTACTACAACGTTAAGTCTCGTGGTATTACAGTTACTTCGAATAAAAGGGATAGAAACAGCACGAGATTTAACTGCATCTTAAAATTGAGCAGCGTTTGAGTATTTGCGTATTTCAGAATTACATCGTCAATTCGTATGTTATTGGAAAAAGATACATAACGTGCTACATCAGTAATCTAATTTGTTGCCAACTAGTAGCGGTTTAAGCTTAAGGTTCGTAAATCTATACATATAATAAAACAGTAACGAAAGAAAAACTGTACATTGAGTATTTTCGAGAAAAAATAAGTAACTTTTGTTAGAAAAACGTAACTGATGACAAAAAGTGACTTTTTAGAATTTTTGTCTGTTTGTCTGTGTGTATGGTACGCTTCACGCCAAAAATACTGAATAGATTGAATTGAAATTCAGCAAAAATGTTCTTTGTAAACCAAGTAAGGATTTAGGCTACATATTATCACGCCGTATGTTATAGGAGGTAAGCAGTATTGATTTTAAAAGGTTTTTCTTCGTAATTGAATGCACAAAATAATTGAATGCACAAAATAATTGAATGCACAAAATGACATGTTATTAGTTAAAATAAAAATAAAAATTTAACTCTGGGAACATGATAATCACGCTATTTTTATAAAGGAGCGGGGCGGTATATAAATTGCAAGGGAACAGCTGTTTTTGTGTTGTCAACATGTTAACGGGGAATTTAGCGGTAAGGTCAGGCGACCGTTTACTGCATTAAATGGTGCAAGTTTAAATCCCATAATATTGTTTTGACAATCGTAATTTTTGTTTAATTTTTGCACTTTTTATGTGCATTGGGAAATCTGAGAACTTTACATGTCCTATCTAATTGTATGGAGAGTTTCACACCAATATTACTAAACAGATTGAAGGGTGGTATAACACTATCATGAAGTCAAGTCAAACTTTTGGTTCTAAGTTATATATTACCAAGCACATTTGTTGCAGGTAATTGATTTAAGTATGTAATTTTTAGTTTTGTTCCTTGCTGCCGTTACCATATTTTTTAATGCAAAAATAATGTACTTGTCTATTAAATTAACGACAATTTAGTTTTAATTCATAATTAAATTAATTTATTTGGGTAAAAAATATGTAGTTTCTGTTTACTAACTAGATGGCATTGGCGTCGAGTTAGATCGCGCTATGGTTTCGTTCCCAAAAAGTGATGTTATAGGTGCCGATGGGCCGCTCTCATCCTATAGAAACGGGGGTTACCTTTGTTGTCTGTGTTGGTTGATGTGTTTAATTTTCCTGCTAATAATTATTATTTTTCTACTTACTAGCAATTTTTACGTACTTATTCGATTACTTTTTATTGTTTTGAATATTGTTAGTATCGGATTAAGAAGGAATTTTAGCTATGCCTTTTAGAAAAAGATGAAATCTGTCTCGAAAGTCAAGGGTTTCTAAGATGCGCAGGTTAGTTAGTAGTAGCAGTAGTTTCTCTCGAACCCACGCAGAGCATGAACAACGGCTAGGTGCTAACCGTGAGCGTAATGCACTAAGTTTGTCCGCAGAAACTAGCACGCAGCGCCAATTACGACTAGAATTTAAAGGAGTCCGCACTACTGCTTCTCGATCGCAGGAAAGTGTGGAATAACAAGAAATGCTTTTAGCTATCGACCGAGATCATCATTCTTTGTCTCGCGCATCTCGCGCAAACGGTTACACAGAGGGATCAGAGGTTGAGTTTTCAGAATATCTGCTCTGAGACTGCTCGATCACTTGAGAGCAGTCAGGAGCGTGAGATACGACTTGCGCGTGACCGAGAATGTGGGCAAAGCCAAGGGTGCAGCTATAGTTTATATAGAATTTTTTTAAAAGTGATTTGAAATATTATTGTTAATTCAGTGTACCCTTGCGGTACACCCGTTTTCGATCCGGTGCGGAATGCACCGGATCGATGAAATATACGTGATGAAAAGTTTTTTGTTGTATAGGTGTTAAGTCTAGGTAACAAATAGGCTATAATTTATTTTGGAAAATGGAACACCCGATGCAGAACCGCAACAGACCAGCGATATAAAAATGGTATCATAGCAAAAATATTCCACGTGAAGAGTTTTTTCTGCTGTGAGAATAAATTTGAAGATCTGGAACACCTGTTGTGGAACTCCAAAGCCCAGCGGCATTATAACATATATAGGAATGACGTCTTAGCAAAAATTGTTTAGTCTGATGGGCATTTCGTGTTGACTTACAATAATGAAAGATCTGGAACGTCTCGAATCGTCTCGCGCATCACGTTGTTTTCCCGTCCCCCGGCTCTTAGAATTGAATAGAGTATAATCTTGATTTTGACGACCCCGTTGTCGCTGGCATTAGCAACATCATCCGCGTACGAAGTCGCAGGCAGCAGCTAGTATTGGATATTTTTCTAATAGGATAAATATCATATTAGTAAAAAACATATTAATGAAAAAATAGTAAAACCTTCAAACAAAAAGATGCTTTATTGGACTTACTTTAAATTCGCTACAAGGTATTAGTGCAATGCGTATAATATCAACAATAATCTAGTACATACAATAATTGTACTTCGTTCCTGTTTCCGATTAAAAAGCTAGATTGACAATGGGCCGGATATATGGCTCAAAAAACCGACAACTGATGAGGAAAAAATTTTCTCGAGTGGCAGCCTAGTGCCGGTGACGACCTGCTAAGAAATGTTTCCTGTATTGACGGATGCAGGAGGCTCAGAAACATGCGGGATGATGATCATGATGAACAATAGTTGTGTGGTGTTGATAAGTTGAAGTTTGCTACAACAGTATAGTGTACGTTGCATTGCGTGGTGACACATCGCAATTTGTCAATTTCTGTCGCTTATCAAGGACAATGTCCTGCAGACTGAATTTCGGCCTCTCTCAACGGAGACTAGCCATTTGCACAGGATATGATTATAATGCTCAAGTGTATGCGTAAGCACAGGGAATAGAGAGTGCTATTTCCTTACTCTCAAGTCCGATAGGACGGTAATCCCACACAACCGGAAAGGGATCAGATAACACGGAGGTGAAAATACCGCCGTCCTGATCCCGGCCTGCTACTGAGAATTTCTTGACAGAAAAATCCAATAACAAATTTTGGCTCTACCGAGATTCGTGTTCAACAAAAAAAAAGAGCAATTTATTTTTATAAATAAAGGAGCACAGAAATATAAATAGACTTGTCAAATATCCCAAGACTTGTGTCTGCTGTTTCGAATTGGGCGATAAACAACATGAGTTGACTGTGTATTAATTGTGCTATCAATTTTTGTTTAGGCGTAAACCCGGAACATTTTTCGGGAAAGAAAGTTGGAGTGTACATAGGCACTTGTTTTTCTGAATCTGAGAAGATTTGTTGCTACAAATCAAACGCTTCAAATGGGTTCGGTATTGTTGGGTAAGTAAGTTATTTTTTTTAATATGATAAATAGAACATTCTTGCGATTCCCCTGGTGTTGCAGTTGTTCACGGGCGGCGGTTGTTACTTACTATGAGGTAGTAAGGGTAAGTAAGGGGCAAACGAGCCAGCAAGTTGCTGGCTCGTTTGCCTCTTCTGTAAAAAAAAACTTTTGCTTTGAATATCACCCCACGTTACACTGTGCAGTCTTTACAGAATATCTGACATTTAGGCAGAATGTTATCTTTCTAACTTTTCCTAATGTCGCCCCATATGACACCCAGGAGCGATAGATTTTCTTGCGCCGCCGTCAAACGTAAGGATATAAAAATAGTTAACACTAATTTTATTGTTAAGTTGACGTAATTTCATATTCTGGAAAAATTTGTCACTTTTAATATACGTATAAACTCGTTTTCTAAATTTCTTAGTGCATTGCATTTCAAAAACGTAGCTTTTGTACTCGTATGGTTTGTCTTTAACTTCATTTTAAATTGTTTAATTCCAAGATACCGATGAATCTGTAATCATGTTAGCACTCCTTTTATTCAAAGTTAACCTTTCAAACAAGAAATATGTACATATTTTCATAGGTTATTATGTTTATATAATGTTTATTAAGTATCTTCGGCCAGTTTGTATCATATTTCTATAAATGACTGTACACAGTCGAGGGAGAAAATCCGAAGCAAAATAATACACGAATTCCTATTATTCATTTATCGACCCCTTCTGGGGTGGATAGATGAATAACCGGAATTCTTATATTATTTCGATGATTTCGTATATTATTCCGAGTATCAACCCTGGTGTGGGTCTTTTTGGATGGATATACGGAATAGCCTGCCAAGCGTGGCAACTATGGCTATGAAGCAATCTATGTTCAGCAGTGAACTTTTGATAGGCTGTAAGCTGTTACAGTCTATCAAAAATCCACCGCTGAACATACATATTTCTTGCTGAAGAAAAATCAGGATCAAGTTTACGATTCAGTATCATAAACACACGCATCAATCATACCTCAATAAGACCCGAAAATTATTATTTGTGTTTTCAACAAACGTTAGCATTGACCGAGGAGTTTAAACTAGACGCCATTGCCTAATCTATTTAAAATTAGGAATGTATGAAAAAAATGTTGTAACAAAAAACTGGGTGTAACAGATGAATGGAATAGAATTCTACGGCACAGATATTTTCATTTTTTCTGTCACATTATCATATAGTTACGAGGTTGAGGTTTGTGAAAATAAACTAAAACTGCCAATTGAATTACTATAATTGACACTTTAATTACCGAACACTAATTACAACTTAAAACACATAAATAATAAAACACAATTGTACTACTGAACACATTAGTTCGCAGTTATATCGCGTCGAAGTATTCGCAATTCAATACTCTCCCGGGTCGCGGTCCATATCGGCCTTATATAGGGCCTCTTCCACTGAAATATCTAGAATGTTCAACTACATAGCGGTTCCCATAGACTAGGTGTAGAAAGTTCTGGCATGGAAATCTCTAGAAGGATCTTGACTCTCCTAGTTCTGATACTCGATACTAGTGGGCGATAATTGTAACTAATGCCTCCATGTACCAGGCATTAGATATGGCGCGCAACAATATTATGAAATTGATCTAAGAATATAAGCCAGTTTTTTTTCTTTTACATTATAAAAGAAAAAAAACTCTTCTATTCTCTTCACCTTTTACACCCTATTTTTTTCAGACGGTATAAAAATCATCCAGTATAAATATAATGATTTCAGATGCAATAAATCAATGTTCGCAAATCGTATATCCTACTGCCTGAATGTCAAGGGGCCATCGATGTCTATCGACTCATCTTGCTGCAGTTCTATAATGGCTCTGGAACTAGCTTACCTCGCAATGACTCGTGGAGATTGTGAGGCAGCCATTGTTGGCGGTGGAAATGTTTGTTTGCATCCTCAGTCGTCGGTGCATTCTGGAAGGTTATTATAATTACATTACCTTAAAAAACGAGGAAACCATTATCAATATCATCCGCTGCTATGGCGAGAGAGTTTGCAGTAATAGACTATATAACGACGGTATCAGAGACTTTACAAGGTAGCTTGACAGGAAAATGAGTTAAGTTTGGTTCTACTTTTACATGGGAGAAATGTCTACCCAAACCTACTTTCCAGGGCAAGGGATTCCATATGTTAAACTCGCGAATAAATCATCGTGGTGTTTCACATTCACTGTGTATAAGCTGGGCTACGAGAACGCTCATACTTGACCCTATCAATGTCAGTCACGTCTTGGTGACAATTTATGGGAAAGGACAACGCCTTCTCGTCATTTCTTTAAGGAAAAACGTGCCGGCAAGGCGCGCCTTAATATACGATCTCTACCCCACCTGCGCAACGAACATCCGTGACTCATAGGGCCAGGGACAACGACGTTCACGTATGAGAGAGAGAATTCCACCTTGGCTGCGACGGCTCTGTGAAGGGATACCGCACCTATTGTACTCTATCAATACATATTCAGCCTTCTTCACTACCTCTGATATATGCTACCTCGGGCTTACTCTTCCCCTCAAGTTAGCCCAAAAGGTTCCACTTTGTTTACGGTAACGACCAAGCCACGGTTTAAGCCCCCCCGCTTGTTCCTATGACAGATTTGGTTCTTTATCCTATATTGACAACGAGACAGAAAAATAGCCCTAACAACTGTTGATATCAAAAGCTGAACTATTTTATTTCAGGACCATGACCATTAGTATGGATGGAAAAACCAAATCTTTCGACGAAAATGGATCTGGTTGTGCAAAAACTGAAGCTATTAATGTTTTGTTTCTCCAAAAGGCTAAGGATGCTAAGCGGTAAAATCTATCTTCTATCTCTATAGCCATGTTCAATGTACAATCATACGTATTAAAACGAATAATATCTACAAATATATTTTATAGAATCTACGCCGATGTTGTCCACGTAAAGTGCGAGTACCAACAACTTATGGAAGGCAAAACAGGTCCAAAATTTGGATTCTGTCGTGATCCTATAAAATTGTCCGAATTTTTAACAAACTTTTATAAAGAAGCAAAAGTTCCACCTCAGGCTGTTGAATACGTTGAAGCTTTTGGTTCAGGTATATAGATTATAATATTGACAAAAAATATCAAAGTATTTTTAATGTCTGTCTTTTAAAAATTTTCTCTGCTACAGCTTTACCCGAGGCTGATAAAAATGAGTTAGATTCAATAGATGCTGTATTTTGCAACGATAGAAAGAAACAACTACTTGTCGGTAGTGTTATGTCTAATATTGGTTATGGTGAAGCTGCATCTGGAATTTCTGCCGTTATAAAGGTAAAAGAGTCCTAACTTCTTTTTTTAATAAAAAGTAGTTCTTTAATTTCTTCAAGTTACCAGATATTTAATAAAACATTTAGAAAAATATCCAGTATCTTTAATAACGTGTCGTTACGAATCTGCTAGTTCAATTTTTTAATTCGCTTTTAGGTTCTTCTGGGGTACCACAAAGGCGAGTTGGCGGCAAACCTATACTGTGAAACGCCAAGACGAGACGTCGAGGCGTTGCGTGAAGGACGCATGCGCATCGTTACTGAGCATCAACCATTTAATCGTACTTATACTGCCGTTAATGGCTTATCTATTACTGGAATCAATTCCCATACTCTCTTACATGGTCATTATAAACCTAAGGTAATCAATATACCACAAACAATTATAATTAAAAAAAACCTATAGCTCCAGCGGTTATCGCACAATATAAAAATTAATTTCAATTTCGATAGAGGACCTAAATATAATAACATAAAGCTCACAATTCAATACATGACTTAGATCCGAGTTGGTGTTTAGGCGTTTGACTGTCCTAAACCATTCTCTCGTATATAAATTGTATAATGTTTGAACATTGATATGCGAGTATAATAATATTAAAAATGATTGAGTATTGATCAATTATTCAATTTAATATCACAATGTACAAGGTTGATATAATATATTTGTGGCAGCGCCTTGGAACCTATCGTCTTAGAACAAAATAATATAAAAGCTTGACGCTACCACAACTTAGTTTGAAAAGTCTGAGGCTGCTGTGATCATCAATCAGTTCACCAAGCGCGTCGATTATAGTAAATGTTGCTCGTGAGAAAGGCCTACGTCCAGTATATTTTAGTCTTGTTATTCAAAAGTCTACAAAAAAGGAGCTGGCACAGTGTCTTTTCATTACAAACATTTATTAAACTCTAATTATTCACTGCTTCTCAAAAATTCACTGCTTGACATAACCCACCCCGTAAATTTCCTGATTGGAGGAATATTTGCCAGCATTGCTACGCTTGACCTCTGCCAATGGTTGATTGGCAAACGCAGTTTCTTAATTTTGATATTAGTTGTTTTGAGGAAGTGCGTGTGTTGTTGTTCAACATCTCTTCGTTTTTTTCACCCTGACGCTTCTTATGACACCACGGGAAGATATGAGTTATAAGAAGAATATCCACTCCCATACCGCCTCCTATAATTAAAATTAGAATAATTTTATTTAATAATATTACACAGATTATAAGACCTTGATTTTCTCTACAGGATTTATCTCGATACAAGTCTAACATACCGCACTTAGTTACAATTTCTGCGCGACAAGATTCATCGGTTAAGAAAATTCTAGACGATTTAAAATCCCGACCCATCGATCCCGAAGAGCTTGCATTATTGCACAACATTCATCAGTTAAAAATTTCTGCTCATATGGGCAGGGGATTTACTATATTAGGTGTGTTTATCTATATAATTTTAGCCTATCTACATTTGAATTCAAATATAATTGCATGATAAGTGATTTTATTACATCAGAAAGTCGAGAATTGGCAGGATAACCATCTTTGTTTTAAAATTAAATTGAAGTCACAAGCGAATTAATAGTCCGCCTAATGTCTCAGCTACTGCAGTTCATGAATCAAATGGCTAGAGAAAAGTATCCGATCCAAGTCTATAGTTTTGTTTTTTCTAAAAGACTAAGCTGCAATTTCCTTGTTGTTAAGGATGTTTATTTGCGGCGTTGGTGGTCACTTACGTATACCATCGGGTATGGCAAATGTATGTTAGTAAATTTCACAGTACATGAGCAACCCGAATTCAACTCCGATGGCGACAATAAAATTACCAATTGCATTTTTAAGTGCTAATTTACGATGTGTATGGAATAAAGAATATAGCGTGAGTTTATAAAACCGTATATCTGAGAAATTAAAAATGTCTTAAGAACACATGAACATTTCAAGAAGTGAAGATTTTCAAGCTGCATCCAGTTGTTATATAATGACGTATCGACTTTCGTTCGTAATGCCAAGATTACTAAAAATCTCATAGACATAAAGGTAATTAAGCGTGCAGAAGAATAAAATTTGATCGAATTTATTATTTTTACAGATACCAATGCAGACCAGCAGACAGTTAGCCTATGTGAAAAAGTGGATTATTTTGACAACGCAAAAAGACCTCTGTGGTTCGTTTACAGTGGAATGGGATCACAGTGGGCTGGCATGGGCGCCCAACTAATGCGTATTCCAATATTTGCTGCTGCTATTGAACGGTTAAATTAACTTTTGACATTAATATAAATACAATTAATGTTCTCGATATTGTATTTTATTATTGTTATCAATTTAAATAATAACTTAAATGTGTAATGTTCGCGTAAATATAAGTAATCATTATTGTTATCAATGTTTATGAAGATGACCTTTAAATAATTTTTTGATTCCTAGATGCCGTAGAGTTTTGGAGCCGAAAGGTGTTGACATTGTACATATTATCACTTCACCCGATAAATCTACTTTCGACAACATTCTAAACTCTTTCGTCGGAATAGCGGCCATTCAAATTGGACTTACTGACATTCTATTCGAGCTGGAACTAGTGCCAGATAAAATAATCGGTAAAATATTACAAGCTAGTTGAATAACTCATATTGTCAGACTAACACAGAAAGATATTCGGAGAGCTTCAAATGACGCAGTCTAAAATAATTCGGACCAACAACATAGTTTAAGGTGCATATTTATGTATCCAGCAGTAAATTTTCACTGCTTGATAACATATTGATAAATAGAAAAAAGTTGTTTGTTTGTTGTAATAGTTTCAGAATCAAATGAATGTATGTAGAGCTCCGTCTATCTTTATTTGTTACTATAACTAAAATATTCAAGTACCGTTTAAGATTACTTTAATAAAATGTCTTACTTTTAATGATATACAACGTTTATAAATTATAAAAAAAGTGCAAACTTACAGGGAAAGAAACGTCTTTATTTTTTATGCATTTAATATAATTACTAATTTGAATTTATTTAACTTCTACCTTAGGTCACAGCGTTGGTGAATTGGGATGTGCGTACGCGGATGGATGTTTCACTGCAGAAGAGATGATACTTGCTGCTTATTATCGTGGGCTTGTATCAGTGCAAACTCCATTTATTCGTGGTTCCATGGCGGCAGTTGGCATTGGATATCAAGAGGTACAAAAAATTAGTAATTCATGTTTGTGTATCAATAAAACAAGTTTGAAAGATTGTTGCATCCCTTAGCATTTACTACCGAATCTCCCGTGGGGAGTGCTCTGAGGAATTGTTCGGATTAATTTCAGCCACCAAATTTCACGAACACACGTTGCGACAAAACTCACGATACCATCCATCCATATGGATGCTTGGCAGTCCATCACTGTACATTTTACTGGGAATTTTCTTCCTCTCACAACCTCTAGGTGGAATCTCTTAACACCGGTGATTTTTCCGCACTGATATAACTTAGGGACCTTTAAGAAAAGAGCTTACTCCTTTCTAAAGGGCCGCCCCAAGGCCCAATTCCTCTGGTGCTGAGGTTGATCATGGGTGGTGGTAACCACTTACCATCAAGTAAGTCGTATGCTCGTTTACCTCCTCTTCTATAAAAACAGTTAAAAAAACGTGTATGAAGCAGTTTTCCTTCTTTGTGTGGTTCCAAGTTTACAAAGTGTGATAAAAATCTTTTGGTATGTGAGTGATGTCTAAATAATAACCACTTCGAAATAGCTATATCTAAAATATTAGACCGGTATCTATCTAAAGTATCAAACTGCTAGTGTATTTAATAATTCGCTTATAAAGATAGCGGTTATAGGAAGTTTACCCTATTAAAAACAGGATAATGTGCATGGGTGGACTCAAAAAAAAAAAACAATTTCAACAAGGGAGAGGCTAAAAGTTGGCAATAGATTATTCGAACGTCTTCCTGCTGGCTAAGCGTCTCGACAAAGAAAACTTCTCTCTTAGTTGGGCATTCAGAGGCCCGTGTCCCGCAGAGTATTAACCTATCACTCACTGCGCCCGCCATAACAAAAAACAGCTTTGTACCGAGGCGTCCGTCGTCACCTCAGCTGGCGGCACTTGTTTTAAATATTTATGTTTCTCACGACCTTTCATTTATGTTTAAAGAGGTTTTAGTTACAGTTATTTAAAGCCGATAAGATTTTCGATAAGTAGAAACAATAACCATAACATATAAATGTTTATTTTATTTTGTAAAGCTCTTTGTTTCTAACGGATCTTGATAAAGTGTACTTACTGACGATAAATTTTATTTTATGAATGAAATATCGTAAGTTTTTATTTTATTTTTATGTCCTTACAATCAATACAACATATCCTTCCTAAATGAACCGAAATTATGCATGTAATAATTATAATAATTCTACTTTTTCACTTGCAAACATTTGCTAAAAATTCGACAATAGACAGTTTGCGCGCGCTTACTAAACTCATTTTCAAAACCTTTTTTATGTATATATTTTATATCGTCTTCTTTTATTTTTCTTATACAATCATATAGATATAAAATTTAGCAATTACTAGTAAAAGTATTTACTATGATATTCCAATAAGAAATATACTATTATTATCTTATTAGAATCTTATTAGAAATCTTGACCGTTATGAATTGTTTGCGTAGAGGTTTTTTATTTCTACTTTTTTTATCAATTGAAACATAAAAAGTTACCGTTGTTGTAACTTAAATCATTCAAAAACATTACGTAGTAAACATAAATAACATTACTTACAGTTTTTTTGAAAGAAAATCCAACTAAAATCACAATCACAAAACTTCAATTATTACGCAACCAACCGCACCAGCACGCAAAAGCGAATGGCTGTTATATTTGATGATGTCTATGTAACCGAGTGAATATAATGCTACAGAATATTCTTTAGTTCGTTCGGAATCGAATGAAATAGTGTTCAATCGAAAATATACTGTATTTTTATATCAATTAATGTCGAAAATAGCAGCACGTAATGCGGACATGTATACATGTCCTCTGTACTTAGCGGTCACAAAACTTGGACCTGTCAACACGTCCACGGTATCTTAGAGAGGGTGAATATTTAAAAAAAGGTAGTCTTTATTAAATTCCAAAATTAAATTATTTCTGCGGTAATTATTTTCGTAATTTATATATCTGGTAGTGAGTGGTTACTGTTGCCCTTGGACGCCTATACTATCTTCTATTATGAATGGTAATACAGATTTTTTATCTATGTATTTATTGAAACTTACAACTAACATAACAGTGTATCTATTACCTAATATGACGGTATAATTATTTCAAGCTTAACAAAAGTGTGGTTCTTAATAATAACAAATTATCATCCTACTATAGTGAACTCACGCACGGTGCAATATAGAAGGTCAATATCTTTAGCAAATCTATTAACAGTGCGTAACGTTCTCGTTTAATGCCCCTTGTTTAGTAAATAATTAAAATTATCTTCAGTATTAGTCAATCACCATACGAAACACAACATCACCGTACTGATATTTTACGCTAGCATACTATGCTAACGTGTTTTTCCTTCGTAAAGCCAACTAATTCGTGCTACAGTCATAATTCATTACACAGTAGCCCTACCACGTATCTTCCTCACTCTATATGTTTCCGTGTTGCCAATACAGATATTTCTCTTATAGATATCGAAGATGTGCCCTCCTGGTATTGAGGTTGCATGCCATAATGGACCAGATTCCAGTACAATTTCAGGCCCTGCAAATGTAATGAGGGAATTCGTAGCTCAATTAACTGCTAAAAAGATATTTGCAAAGGAGGTGCCATGTTCAAATATTGCTTATCATTCACGGTACATTGCAGAAGCGGGTGAGTTCAAGTGAATTTGTTAAATAAACTTTTGTTATTATATAGTATTTTCGGAATTTCGGTGATTTTTAACAGACTTCAAAAAAGAGAAGGTACTCAATTCGAGTGTATGTAAGTGTATGTTACGCGATACCTTCGCATATTGTGAACCATTTTTGATGATTCCTTATTTATTAAATATATTATGTATTAGGGGTGGCTGATATGAATTTTGAGAACTATCCCTGAGGGTAGCAAATAAATAGCTTCTTTAAAAAAATACAATCGCTTTTTAATTTTTGTTAAAGGTGATAAAATATTTTTTAAGAAAAACACTATTAGACAATATGAAATTGACAATGATTAGCTTAAATTTTTATTAATTTTTTGTTTTTAAAAATTTGATATTTTAGGTACCTATATTGAACTAAAAATAAAAAATAAAAATACTAATTAAAAGAAAGGGGAATGAAAGTGAACGCAAGTAAGACGAAAGTGATAGTTTTTGAAAGAGAAGAAAGCAAAACGGTATGTGAAATAAGAATAGAAGGAGAGTTAATTGAGCAAGTGGATGAGTTTGTGTATTTGGGATGTGTATTTAGCAGGGATGGTAGATATGATAGGGATATAGAACGACGAGTAAATGCAGGGAATAGAGTGAATGGGGCACTACACTCTATTATGAAGAACCAGAATGTGTCAAAAAAGGCACGTATGGTAATTCATAATGCTGTGTTAGCCCCTACTACTGTATGTATTAATGTATGGTAGTGAAAGCTGGGTGTGGCAGAAGAAGCACGAAAGTAGAATAAATGCTGTAGAAATGCGGTCTTTAAGGAGTATGCTAGGGTTGAATCTGAATGACAGGGTGAGAAATTGCGTGATAAGAGATAAATGTGGTATGCAAGATGATGTTGTGACCAGGATTAAGAAAGGAATGCTTCGGTGGTTTGGTCATGTAGAAAGAATGAATGAGGAAAGAGTGACAAAGCAAATTTATATGGCAGATGTGAACGGTCGAGTCGGGAAGGGACGCCCTAGAAAAAAGTTTATCGACCAAATTGACGATATTTTGAAAAGGGGCCACGTTAGAAGTACCCTTAACCGACGAGCATGTATGCGTAGATATGTGGATGTAAAGGAGGCGAAAGAGGTATGTCAGGATCGTGCCAAATGGAAGTCCGTAGTCTCTGCCTACCCCTCTGGGTGACAGGCGTGAGTGTTTATGTTTTTTTTTTATATTGAACTACTTGTAACTGTACTTATACCTGTATTTTGCAAGGAATGTCCAAAGAAATATGACTTTATTTATACATATATTTATGTCGGATATTTAGCGAATATTATAACAGCATCGTTGTTTTATGGTTAAAGTTATGAGGAAGCTTTGCAATAAATGGTAAAAGTTATGAGGAAACCAGATTTTAAAATAACTTTTTGATTGTTTCTAACTGTGACGTGTAAAAAAATCTGTGTGTATAAAAGTAGTGAATATTGAATTCGCACCATTGAGGTTCTAAATGTCGACACTTTACTGATCTAAATCGTACGACGTTACGACCAAGAAGATTTGAATCATCGTACTTCATGGAATCCCTGTGGAAAGTACGTAAAGCCGATATCACTGCGCCAGATTTCTCTGTAGTCGTGTCAGAATGCCTTTCCTTCGGACTATGAGACTAAGGAAATTGAGAGTACATATGTGCTTGCTCACATAGTTTTGTCCCACAGATGGCTTTTTTCTAAAATAGGGCCTTGATCACATTGTATTATTAGTCTGTTTTTTAAATATTATATTGATGTATCATCTATTTTATCTTGAGTAATTTGATTAATATTTAATAGGTAACAAATTTAAAATAGTATTTTGATTTATAGGCCCCGGACTACTGAAATATTTAAGTGAAGTCATCAAATCGCCTAAGCTCCGTAGCGAAAAATGGGTATCGACTTCAGTCCCGCAAGAAAAATGGAATGAGCCCATGGCTAAATATTCTTCTGCAGAATATCACACCAACAATCTGCTTGTAAGTTCTTTGGTTGCAAATTAATTTGAGATATTAGGATTGTGGTTGGATAAGATAATTTATTCAATAATGTAAACTAAATAGAGAAGAAGGGAGAAAGAGAGAGAAAGAGAGAGAGATAGTAGGGCGTAAGTCAATTTATAGATCCCAATTCATTTTGAAATAAAAATATTTTAAACAATGTGCATATATATTATATATATATATATATATATATATATATATATCTGATCAGCTAAGGCAATTTTTTTTTGTGGAATTGGTGGTGGAGACAAACGAACACACAGTCCAAGTGATAAATGCACTTCTGAGAACTAAAACATAACGCCTCGTCGGTTTCAGCAGGAGAATTTAAGTTATACCACCGTTATGTTGCTATTTTAGGCTGGTATTCTATGCTAGCGTGATCCTTCCTCGATTGAGGCAACCCATTCGTGCTGCAGCTGTAATAAGCTGCAGTTCCATGTTTAGTATCGTTTCACAATTTACTTTTCTTTTTTTAGAATTCCGTGCTGTTCGAAGAAACTTCTAGATTGATACCACCCGATGCGGTGCTTGTGGAAATAGCACCACATGGTTTACTTCAAGCGATTCTGAAGCGGTCTTTAGCAGACACTTGTCGACACATTCCACTTACTCGTCGAGGACATACTGATAACGTGCAGTACTTATTAGAATCTATTGGAAAGTTAGTACTCACAAGTGTTGTAATTTAAAATACTCTTGAAATATGAAACATTGCTATGTGCAACAAATGAAAATTTTTCACCCAAAGCAAGTTTTCGCCTTCAATCCAAATCTGCCCATGTCTATTCAACTTTTAAGATGAATAGATATGGGCATTATTATAAAAAATCATCAATTTATTACATTAAATTCTCAACCTTTTAGCGGTCTCATGAGACCGCAGCCATATTCCGTCAAATCCCTAACGGTCTCATGAGGTCGCACCCACCCACAGCACATTAACACATAAAAACTTATATATAGAGACTACTTTTCTATGAAAAATTTGGCACTATAATAATAATGTCCTCCAGACCGAATTTCGGTCACGGCGGTCTGCTTCAGAGGAGAGGAAGCTAGCCATCGGTGCAAGACAGGATTATAGTGCTCAAGTTTATGCGGCAACACAGGTGCACTCTCTATTCCATCACTCTCATAATCCAATGGGACGGTAAACCGATACGACTGGAGAGAGATCAGGCGCAGGACCAACGGCTTTACGTGCTTTCTGAGGCACGGGGGTGAGACACCGCCATCTTCCTGACTCCGGGCAGCTAATGAGAATTTCTTGACGGAAAAACTCAATAATTGATATTAATGGCCCGACCTGGGATTCGAACCCAGGACCTCATGATCAGCAGTCGCACTACTACAATCACTGAAGCAACGAGGCAGTCATAATGGCACTATATAATCAATATGAAATACTCTATCCTCTAGTGCAATAAAAAACTGTTATCCTATGAATATTTATTTTTCGTACGCCATTTTCACGTGAATATTATTATGTTGATTTTTGGATTTCTCTTATGTTTTATTAGTGTTTTAGTATAGTGTTTTACTATAAAATTGTAATGAAAGCTTTTGTGTGAATATAATTTATCATTTTACGTAAATAATTTCGAGTAATATATATTGAAATAATTGTGATTTTCACGCTGCCGACATTCGCTTGGTATGTTTTTTGATATCAAAATACAAAATATTTTTGTAATGAAATAAAACCCGACTTTTATTTAGACCACAATATAGAGAATTTTGTATAGATTTTATAACGCTAAACTTCTTCATAGAAAAGTAGTCTCTAAATATAAGTTATAATGGTTTGAAAAGCTGTTGGTGGGTGCGGTCGTATGCGACCGCTCGGGATATGCCGGGCGCATGCTACTGCATGAGATTTTTATGGCGCTTGAAGGGTTAATCAAAAGTCCAGTTTTAAACTTCCGCCTCTCCTATATATTGTTTTGTGAGTGGGATATATTTGCCATATTTACCACGATTGACAGGCAGATATTCAACCGCAGCTTTTTACTATTTTATATTGTTATCAGAAAATCAGTTTTCCTCTGTCGCCTCTTACGACACCTACGGCACGTACGACGCAAAACATAATAATAATTATATATGATCATAGTTATGTATTTATAGGAAAATATTAATAAATAAAATGATATTTAGAAGCATCTTATTTAGAAAAATTACTTTACTTCAAAAAAAAAAAGCATTATTAAAATAATCTCGTTTTCTTTCAGATTATTCATGGAAGGATACAATCCTAAAGTGCAAGCGCTTTATCCTAAGATCGAATTTCCCGTGTCAACTGGAACTCCATTGTTATCTCATCTGGTGGAATGGGCTCATCATGAAAAGTGGTAAGTTTTACGACCTTTATCTTATGTTTAATATTATGTAATTATGTAGTTCCGGGTAAAACCTCCTTTCATTTCGAGATGGTGATGGAGCATTAGTTCACCGCGCTACTTAAAAGCATTTTGGCGGAATTTTTAAAATTTTCTTTCACCGCCGACCACTTGGTACAGTTCGCGAGGCATAAGCTGAACTTTGCATTTGTGGAGTAATCACCAAAAGTAGAGTCAGACAAAAAAGTAGTAGACTGAGAAGTCAGAGATTAATAAATGAAATTATCAATATTAAAAGTTATAATAATTCTTATACACCGGAAATTCCATCTTCATCATTTTCATAATCTCTCTCGTCTTCATTTTCACTCTCGTCTGATGTTGTGTCGTTTGTATTAATAATAAATCGTTCTATCATATCATCAAGAACAGCGTAAAAACCATGAAACCTTTTTTTTTCTTTTATTGCTTGCACAAATACATTTTTGCATTTTCGTACAATGATAGTGTCAACTTTATTTTCGTTAATCTCATTATTGTGTCCATATTTTTCGCCACGTATTCTTCTATCACTGCCCATATATTTTCAATTGGGTTGAAATCCAGGTTCTCTAAGTAAAGTGTCAATTTTATATTCAATAAATATTTGTTTGTTTTGCAGTATCAATTGAGTCAATTTTATATCCAATAAATATTTGTTTGTTTTGCAGTATCAACTGATAGAGTTGTGGTTTAGGTTTAGCATCGATGTAGAGTGATCAATATTGCGATACTTTAGTCAGTCAATCATATCTTATTTACGACTATTTGAGTCGGGAGCGAAATTTTCTAACGAATTGTGGTAAGATGCATTGTTTAGCACCACAATGCTTAAATATGGAATTAATTGCGTTTGTAACCATTTCGTATAGTTTTTTGCTTTCATATTGTTATGGTAATCACCACTTTTTTGATTTGCTTTGAACAACAGCAGTGCATTTTGTATGAAACCATCCTCTCCGCCAGTATAAACTATTGTTAAACGATTTCCTTTATAAATTAATTTCTTCAAACCAGAAATGATGCCATCTGAACAAGATTTCGAAAAAGTGTGAGTCGTGTTTAAAAATGTTTCGTCAGTTCAAACAACTGGCTGGCCCTGAATGCAATATTTGGATATTTTAATAAAAAAATATATGTAAATAACATGTATCGTGTTTTACCATTAGAATTTTTCTGTTATTTTGTGTCCTTGTCCATTTATATCCTAAAGAATACACTTCTTTACGCAATGATCGAATTGAACCGGGATAGCTTATTCAGCTATACATATATTCAACTTTTCATGTATTCGATTTAAAATTGGCACCTCTTTATCACTAATGTGATAGTTTGTGAATAGTACTTCAGATTGCCGCTTTATCAAGATATTTTTCCTGTTCCATCTGGTCTTTTTCTGAGATTCAAATTTGCTTCTGTCTTCCAAAAGACGTTTACTTTTCAATAAAAATCTTTTGACAGTGGATAACGGAATTCCCGTCGATTTCGCTAGCAATTGGGCTGATGTAGTGCCACTTGAAATATCTTTATCGTTCATGTCTTTAAAATAACTATCTAAACTACACGACATTTCTTTTACTTGACTATTCCGTATATTTCGTTTATTTGTGTGGGCAGCTATATCACTAATAAATCGAACACAAAAACCAAATATTAAGAAATAAACTCGTCACGCTACTGCCAGTGGAAGAGGTAAAGCGTGGAAGAACCACGGCGGAGTTGCGTTGCGTTAAGGACGCACCGGGCTTCAGGCCGATTGCTTAAAAGCAGCATAAACCGGTTTAAACCAAGCAAAGTGCGTGTTGGGCTACAGGGCGACGACACACCAACACTATCTTTGTGCACTCACACAATTGCATAGCTCTGATTAGGCCTCGCGGACTTAAAATTATTCAGCACTTAAAATTGCAGCAATTTCATTGGTGCTCGCGATGTTTCAACTCAGATTGCTTGCGTGCTGTGAAATTTATGGGAAGCGCTTAACTCTTGAGCTATCTGTGCTAAAATAATAACATAACATGCTTATTTTTTTCACAAAACGCCTTTATTCGTAGGAGTTTACCACTCTACGTGTCAGCAAATCGAAAATTTACAGCATCGTGTAAATTCGTCTATTCGATACATGATGTAGAAAATAACTATTTGACTGGAAACGTTTTACGAGGTATGAAGAAATTAATTTTGGGGTATTATTAGTAAAATAATAAAATATTCAAAAGTAAGTTTAAGAACGTTACAGCCCATTAAAATTCACTGCTGAACATTGGCCTCCTCTTAGATTGTCACATGAGGGTGACATTTACCACTGTTGCCACGCCTGGCAGGAGGGTGATGGCTACTGCAGATTTTTCATTTTCTATTTGTTATGAGAAAGAACCTGTTGCCCATTTCCTGGTTTGTTTCCCTCTGCCGTCTCTTACTACACCCATGGGACGATATAGGGTAGACGATATTTTTACATCGTAAATGAAGGTCTACAAATATTTTAGACTGACAAACAAGCTTCAAGTTCATCTGATTGGAAGTGGCTACTGCAGCCCACTGACTCCTACAACTAACTTCAAATAAAGAAGACTTTACATTGTTCCTTTTGAAAACTAAGATTAAATGCCTAACATTCTACAACACATGTAATCCATACCTTTCAAACCAGATACACATTACAGATTACAGCAATAAACTTCATGTCGCTATGCAAAACAATAGAGAAAAGGCACAACTATGTCTGTATCTTGGTGTAAGGACTACTTTACTGCCTGCAAGTATGTCTGAGTAGGTGTCTCCGTCTTACCTATTTCTGCCACCAAACACTAGTGTACGTTCGTACGTACGTATCTCACCGCTACTATAGATATGCCGCATATTTACAGGCTGTGAGATGTTCCATATTAGCCGTATATGCTTGAAGTTGGTTGCGGTAATCTATAGGCTAGTAGTTATTATGGTAGTCGCGAGCCATTAGAATGACTTTTAGCTCTCCTTTGCTTCAATTTTACATAAAAATACCGTGATGAACTTCTAAACAGAAAATGGGATTAACAAATCTTTGTCTATACTATTTATTTACCTTTCGGTTTGATAAAAAGTACAGTACTTAGCAAATTGCACGTTGGTAAGAATATGCCATCTGTGAAAGATATTGTAGAGAAACCTAGCCAGTAGTAGTACCAGTAATATTATTTACAGACGCTAAATTATTATGGCTTAAAAGAAAATAATCCCTGAAACGGTCACTTAACATCCAAGCAAGAGCCTGATCTTGCACATTTCCAAGAAAATAATAGAAACAGAAACAGAAACTTTTTTATTCAATGTAGATTATAAACAATACTTATTGAAAGTCAATTTTTTTATTTACCACTGGTTCGCAAAAAAAACTTCCGTCCTGGGAAGAACTAGCAAAAAACCCAGCGGGACTATTTTTTTTTTCAAATAATAGCTTACAATCATGTTTACAATTAACAACACAAGACAAATTAAAAATAGCTTGGTAGCGATCACCCTTCCCAGGGTTTATTATTAGAATTACTGACTCGGTGGAGTCGAGTAACTGGTATTAATAGCTTGTGACTGTTTCTAGTATTTACAGAATGAATATCATTAATTTTTGCAAAACTACGTTTATTCTTGTTTACGTACATTACATTTTCATAAATATATTGAGAGGCCAGAGTTAATATATTAATTTACTTAAATTTTTGTCCCAGTGACTCTTTTGGTTTTAAATTATATATTGCTCTAATGGCTCTTTTCTGTAAAATAAATATAATTTCAGTGTCAGTCGCGTGTCCCCATAGCAAAATACCATACGACATAATGCTATGGAAATAACTAAAATAAGCTATTCTTACTATTTCAACACTGGTAAGAGTTCTAATCTTTTTTACAGCATATGCTGCAGAATAAGTCTGCTAGCTAGTTTTGATATATGGGGGAGCCATTGAAGCTTTGCGTCTAGTTTGATTTCAAGAAAAATGGTGGTTTCAACAAGACTCAGTTCTTCCCCATTTAAAATTACATTCGTATTAACATGTTTGACATTAGGAGTTACGAATTTCATACATTTAGTTTTAGTACCATTAAATGCAAATTATTAACATAAAACCAATTGAAATAATACTAATTTTTACGGAATTTATCGCGTATATTTAACTTTTTTACCCGACGTTTCGAGAGCTTTACAGCACCCATGGTCACGGGAAGGACTGAGATGTTCAACGTCTGCAATCTGTGAACATGTACAGGATCGCCCCCGTCACTACATCAGATTTGATAGACCACAAATCCTCGCTAAAGAACACCGATTCCTTCCAAGGATGATTCGCGAGGCTATTGAAATCAAAAAACATCCTAATTTCAATAGAGAAGATGGCTGGGTGCTACCATCTGCTTGGGATCCTATAATAAATAAAATTAAATCCCAACCCAAGCATACAACTGCAAGACTCCATGATACCATAAGTTCATACTGTGTAGATCGGAACAAAAGTTAAATTTTAATCTATGGTAACCGCGGTTAACTATGACAGCTGGACGTTGAACATCTCAGTCCTTCCCGTGACCATGGGTGCTGTAAAGCTCTCGAAACGTCGGGTAAAAAAGTTAAATATACGCGATAAATTCCGTAAAAATTAGTATTATTTCAATGTGTAGTGTTCGCGTAAATATAAGAAATCATTATAAAACCAATTGACTATGTTAGCTATAGCATTATTTACTTCGTCGTTATTTAATAACTGCCGCTTTCATTTGAAAATTAATGAAGTATCATCAGCAAATAATACTATATCATGGTTATCCCCTACTATATAAGGTAAGTCATTAATATATACAAGAAACAGAAAGGGGCCGAGAATTGAGCACTGAGGCACGCCCATTTGTACAGTCGACCCGGAAGAACTCATACTATTAATTACAACTTTTTGCGTTCTGTCACTTAAATATAAAATAATTAATTTAAGAGCATCACTTCTGATACCGTAGTGTTGAAGTCCTGATTGATGTTTCATGGTGAACACAATCGAAGGCCTTGGATAGGTCACAGAATATACCCAAATCATCCTGTGAATTCTCCCATGCATTAAAGATATATTTAATAAGCTCAACACCAGCATCAGTTGTTGAGCGACCCCTTGTGAAACCAAATTGATTTTTATGAAGTAAAATATTTACATTAAAAAAAATTTAACATTTGATCAAGAATAATTTTTTCAAAAATTTTACTTAGTTGGCAGTACAGAAATAGGTCTAAAATTAGCGGGGTTCAATGTACTGCCAGATTTAAATAAAGGTATTACTTTATTATTAGTAAAAGATCTATCCAACTGCAGAGAGGTGTACGACAGGGTGACGTTATATCCCCGAAACTCTTCACCGCTGCATTGGAAGACCTTTTCAAGCTACTGGACTGGAAAGGATATATTATTAACATCAATGGCGAGTACATCACTCACCTTCGATTTGCCGACGATATAGTCCTTATGTCAGAATCGCTGGAGGACTTAAGCACTATGCTCAATGACCTCAATAGTGCCTCCCAGCGGATAGGTCTTAAGATGAACATGGACAAAACAAAGATCATGTTTAATGTCCATGTCATACCTATGCCGGTAGTTGTTGGGAGCACTATGCTCGAAGTTGTTGACGAGTACGTTTACCTGGGACAAATAGTCCGACTAGGTAAGTCCAACTTCGACCGAGAGGTCAATCGACGGATTCAACTCGGCTGGGCAGCGTTCAGGAAATTACGACATATCTTCTCGTCAGGTATACCTCAATCTCTAAAAACTAGATTGTACAACCAGTGCGTGTTGCTAGTAATTACTTACGGTCTGAGACGTGATCCTTCACTGCTGGCCGTATGAGAACGCTCAAGGTCGCTCAGCGAGCTATGGAGAGGGCTATGTTCGGAGTTTCTCTGCGTGATAGACTCAGAAATGAGGATATCTGCAGTAAAACCAGAGTGACCGACATAGCCCAACGGATTAGTAAGCTGAAATGGCAGTGGGCCGGCCATATAGCTCGAAGAACCGATAAACGATGGGGAAGAAAGGTTCTCGAGTGGCAGCCTCTTACCGGTAGGCGTAGTGGAGGGCGACCCCCCACTAGATGGAGTGACGACCTGGTAAGACATGCAGGAAGTCGTTGGATGCAGGTGGCTCAGGACCGTGCTTTGTGGCATTACTTGGGGGAGGCCTATGTCCAGCAGTGGACTTGTGAAGGGCTGTAATGATAATGAATGATAGTAAAAGATATACGGACTATAGAAAAAGAAACCATGCTAAAGTCCTAGATATGCACTCACGCGCACATCTTTCTTCTTTATTTCTTTAATAGCTCGTAAAGTTCCACTACTGGACGTTAAAACCATGTCATTGGTTGCAAATTATATTAAGTGCAAATGTATGCATTGGTGCGTGTTCTTATAATAAGATGAGCATGGCAGAAACATGCTCAATTTATTTGCCTGGCTTGGTTTCGTTCGGCGTCCCTTAAAATGTACGCAGAGCTCCGTCTTTCTTTTTTTGTTGGTATGCAAATACAATATACATTGAGTAGCTTTACTTTTATTTTTACAATTTTAGATAACCGCTTATTTAAATTAAGTATTAATTATAAAAAATACTTGATTTAAGTAAGCGGTTATTCACAATGGTAAAATATGAGACAATTAATTTTTATCCCTAATGGGATAATTATTCCCATAGAGACAGGACAGTTCTATTATCATTTAGTGAAAAGAAAGAAAGCAAATTTAAGTATTTTATAACTGACGTCGATTTTCATGAGTAATAAAAATAATTGTGTGATCTGTGCCTTGCTTTAAAATTTATATTAGTTGACATAAAATTTAAAATTCATATTTTAATCCTAATAGGAAAGAATACCTTCCCGTTCGCAGCTGCATTAATTGCAGTTTGGGATGTACTGGCGATGACTATCGGGGAACCCAAAAAACAATTGTCAGTTCAATACCACGACGTGAAACTTTATTCCCAGCCTAATCTTCATTATCAACGTCAGTTACGACTTTTGGTATCCTTTCTAAGAGGTACAGGGTATTTCGAGGTAAGAACTTATTAAATATTTCAGTTTTATTACAAGTAATTTATAATTATTTGTAAAAATACATGAACTAAAATGTAAAGTATGTGGTTTCAAAACAAATGTTAAATTTGGCGCAGCGGCTAACTTCCTTATATAAAAGACTCTTTTCAAATTATAATTTAAACCAAGAATGCATGAATTTATTAGTATTATAATAACCCTTTTTATAATTTTTTTAAATAAGTTATTAAATTTGGTGATTATTATTTTGAGCTGCTATCGTGATAATTCTGCTGCTCACCTTCCATTTCAATCTCCTTCTGACGACTCTTGCGACGCCCACAGAACAATATGGGTTAATTAATCCTCACATACTGATACTACACAGCAACTTCAACCACAAATACACAAAAATACCTAAACTGACTAAAGAGAGGAGTAACTAAAACAATTTTTTTCTAATTATGCAGTAAGATATTTAATAAAATAAGGGTAAAGAATAATGTTCTGATTTAATAATTTCATCCACGGATGATCGTTTACTTTTGGCACTTGGGTTGGTAACCACACTCTTGTAAAGTTTTGAGTTGTTATCAGGAAGATGCTGCTGCCCATCTTCTGTTTCAATTTTCCTATGTCGCTCTTGCGATACCCAGAGGACAATATTTCTACCACTGTCACTACACGGTTAATCCTTTGTTGAATTAAATAAAATAAATAATTGACAAACTATAAGAGCCGATTAACACTTCGACAAGAACGATGGTAAGATCAGAGATAAGATAAGAGAAGCGATTTTAGTTACAGGACAGTTGACAGTAAACTGTAAAGTGGACAGTAGCGTTCAAATGTCTTCGTGGTGAGTTTAGTTAAAAAAATACTATTTTATATTTTGAAAGTCGAAAGCGAGCACGCTGCGTCCTGTCAACTTATGCACTGAACTAAGCTCGTTCACACGAGCGGTGAGTTTAGTTGCGGGTGGTGGGTGACGAGCGGGAGGGCAACACTTCGAACTTAACTCGCCAAAAAATAGACCGACCAGCTATCCCTTTCAACTTGATTAACTTGCTACTTACTAATTGCCGTTCAAACGAGATTTTCTACTTAACTCGCCAGGTTCGCGAGTTAACTCGCTACTGTACTTGTCAAAGTGTAAATCGGTCTTAATAGCTGTTGATTGTTATAAACAGGTCATGGACGATTATTCTAAGATTGCAACGGGTTACATCACGGGGAATGTGGTTGATAACAAACCATTTTTACTAAAATTTACTTAAACTGAAGAACTTAATTTAAAATCGGACGACATTTATCAATTGCTACACAACAGAGATTACGATTATAGGTAAGTTTAACATGATTTGAAGTTCTATGACCTTTTTAGGATGTAAAATAAAATGCAGAAATTCATCTTCTCACACTTAACTTGGCTTGACGACCTGGTAATAAATGATTTGTGGTATTCTTTGGTAGAACTTTGTGTTCAGCAATGGACTTGTGTAAGGCTGTGTAATGTAATGATGATGATGATGACATTTATATTCGTGCTTTTGACGGTAATTAGCTACTCGGTCAGTTATTTTATCATTATATCCCACTCGGTAGATGAATGTTATTCTTATTGTATTGTGACTAATTATTTATTTCGTACAAACACTGTAATTAAATTATTAATACTTATGTTTTTTTGATTACATTTTGTGGTATGTAGAAGTTGTAAAAAATTAACAATAATTTTGCTTTATTTTTAAACATTTTTAAACATTTGCTTTATTTCATTGAGTACATATGATATTATTGAAGTAAAACGAAATAAAAATGTTTTTAATTTTAGCGGACAGTTCAAAAGCGTTCACAGCGCTAATAAATCTCTTACGGAAGCGAAAATATATTGGCGCAACAACTGGGTAACATTCCTTGATGGTATGCTGCAATTAAATGCTCTGAAGCGACCTCATCACTCTGTGTCTCAACCAACAAACATTAGAAATATTACAATTGATATCAAAAGACACGTCAATAATCAAGAAATATCAGTGGGCGATGAAAAAGTCATGACTGCTAATGTTTTTGAGACATATAATAGCATCAGGTAACTATATTATTCCATAGTTATTTTTCATGTGGTGATGGCGTAAGTTAGTGTCATTAAATATTATTATAAACTAATTAAACATGAAGATTGATAGTAGTGGTATATTGTAAAAATTGTTAAGTTAGCTGAATTTTATGAAAAAATTCGTACCAAATATGCAGAATATCATTGTGAAAAAATATCTATTTTGTATTTTTTTTAAATTATATATAAAGCAAAAAAAGAAACGTACTTAAAATCTATTTTTATTTACGCTAATCAGTATCCATCAATAATGCTCGAAACCCCTAAGTCTGAAAAAGTATACAGCAAAATCGTTACCTGCTTTCGAAAAGATTTTTTCAACTAAATATTATTCAGATAGGTGTGTTATGTCAGCTGCTATTAAACAATAAATAATGTCTTTCAGACCGACATACGGTCAAGGCACTCATTTACGCAAGATAGCATTATATTGCAAGAGTACATACGCAAGCACCAGTGCATTCTTTATTTACTAACATAATATTTGCATGCGCGTAAGAGAGATCAAGCGCATGACCTACTGCAATACGTGCTACTTGCAGCACGGGGGAGAAAAAGCGCCAACTCCCAGATTACGTGCTACTACTGAGAATTTCTTGACCAAAAAAATCAATTTCAGATTTTGGACCTTCTTTGGATTATGAACCAGAACGACACGATTAGCAATCGCATTGACGATTACTAGATGATCGAGGTTAATGAAATTTGTGCTTTTAATAATAATAATGGTAAAACCTAAATTGATATAACAATTTTTTAAGTATAATGTATAATGATACATTACGATGTGTTGTTTCCACAGAGAAGTTTATAATTTGAATTACAAATTTTTATTTGAAATACCCAAATTCGTGTTCTTACAGATGCGGAGGTGTCGCAATAGAGGATGTTAAATTCCGCGATTTACCACCATTAGAAAAGGAAACGGATTTGATGACTTTGAAATTTGTCCCATACTTCCAACAAGATAAAACTGATGTAAGTATAATAGCAAAATTTTGTAAGAATATTTTTCTTATTTAAGGTTTTAACAAGAAATATTTATTTCAGTACGAAACAGCCATGTTGGTATATTTGCAAATCGTTGCAGAAAATTTGAATAAGAATGTTATTAGTATACTAGAATTGTGTGATCAGAAATGTGATGAAGGTCATTTTCGGAACCTTAATGATGTTTTTAAGAACGTACCTTTTATAGAGGTCCAGCACAAAATGATTTATAGAAATAATGTTTTAGACGAACGAGCCAACTTCTTAACAGATGTTGATTTATTGCTAGTTACAGATTTATCAAAACATGATAAGGTAAGAGCATTATGGTATACTAATTAAGAAAGTATTTACAAAATATCTGAAGACTAATTCCTTCTAAATTGATTAGTTTCGTTTCCTTCCTTATAAAGGCACGTTTTGTTAATTTGTCCACAATTTTTTGTTGATAAGCTATATTAAATATCTCTTACTTGGTTCTAAGTCAACTATACAATAAATACATTTTGATTTATAGAGCGCCTCAAGAATTAGGGTAAATAACTTCGAAATTATTTAAATTAAATATGAATTTATCATTAAAAATATTTAAAAATATTCATAGTTGATTATTTTAACATATTTATATAAGACAAGATATACTTAGTTTTGTTTTAATTTGTTTACAGTTATGTCAAACTCTGTACCGCGTACTTTGTCGAGACACTTTCATCTTAAACAAAGAAAATTATGCAAAGGATTCGTTATTCAATAGACCGTCAGCACTTTATCGTATTGTAAGTGCACAGAATACGAAAGATGAGAGGCTTGAACTGGTACGCTGGAGACCTACATCTAATGCAGTCGCTACGAGTACCTTTACAGTGCGCTCTTCTTCAGATCTTGCTATATTATCTTCTACTCTACCAGCATTTCCACAAAGACACAAGCTCCTTATTATTACATCTTATCCGCCTATAGATGGACTGAAAAATCTTGTTCAGCAATGGCGAAAGAATCACAACCAAATCTATGTGATTATGATAAATTATAGAATTTCCGAAGATCAAAACTTAGATCAACTGCCCAATTTGGATTTGGCGTTCAATGTGTTGGATCATGTAAGATCACTGCTGTACCTATTATGAAATTAATTGGATAAAAACATGTGATATTTCAATATAATCAATAATTTAATTATTCAGGGACAATGGGGTGGTCTGTTCTTCATACCATTACAGAAAAAATTATCTTCAACATATGACATCACTCTTCAGAACTCTTGCATCGGAGATTTTAACTCTTTGTATTGGGTTGAAATGCCACGTATTAACGGTTCTGGCGTGAAAGTAACCGTAAGTTTATTTAATTCATCGTTATTTTAGTAATAATATATTTTATTGTTTTCACAATTATCATATTTAAAATTATGTATAATCAGGTACATTTTGCTGGATTGAACGATACTGATGTTAAGAAATGTGCTGGAATAATTCCATGTAACAATGACAGCAATGAAATTAATTTCGGAATGGACTTCAGTGGTGTAACTGAAAGGTAGAATGCAATATTTTTGAAGGTATTTTTTATTAATGCAGGAAGTCGATGGATGCATGTGATGCTTGACCGTGCTTTGTGGTATTCCTTGGATGAGACCCATGTTCAGCATTGGATCGATGGAGTGAAGTGATAACAATGATGAAATTAAGGTTACAGCCTTTACAAATTTTATCGCTATGCTTGAGTCTCCTCTCATATCTGAGAGGTTATGGTATAAATTTCCTCATTATAGTTTTCTCCAATATCGTGTACTTAAAATTGTAACTAACAATTCCACTAGTGCTGGTAAAGATCTAACCCGGGTTCCTTCCTGGGTTAAGATTAAACACCTTACAGCTGAGGGATAAATGGTACAATGAAAAGCCTGACTTATTAATAAACTCTTTAGTTTTGCTTGTAGATGAAAACCAACAGGACGAAAAGTCCAAGTATTTACGGTAAATATAATCATATAAGAGCAATTCTTATTAGCTAATTAATTGGAATACGGTAATAATAGTCCAATTGAGAATTTCATTTAAATTTAAACGTTTATTTATGTATTCCGATGCAACCGATAACCCTAAATCATATATAAAAATCAGCTTCTCTTTCTAAAATATAGTAGAAATTTACTGCTTAAAATTAAAATTTTATTGCGTATTAAAATTTAAAGACATTATTAATGTTTTTTGTTTTGTATTATTTATTAAATAAGTTACATCCTAATGTTATTATGTTTGCAGGAAGATAGTTAATATATAATGTAGGGTTGTTACAGAAAAGGCTTTTAGAATTGCATAGCACGCACGCGCTCCATCACAATCTTAGTTATCTGTAGACAGAGAAACATAGCTCGATTATTCTGACAAAACTGCGTCTGGTCTGGTCTATATTGACCCTTAAGATTGTGGGCAAAACCATAATTCCCTGTAGTTACATCATTGGACCAGCACAATCCTTGCAATGATTTACCTTTTTTAATAGAATCATTTTTTTCTATTTTCTCTCTTTTTTTAAGTACTGTTTATGCTATTCCGGAATCACTATTCCTTGTAGCCATATCATTGGACTGGCACAAGCCCTGCAATGATGGTAAGAACCATTTTTTTTCTTACTCTTTTTTCAATTCAGTTTAGAGTAATACGTTCAGACCATACCGCAACACTTCGCCGTCACAATCACTTAGTAGTCCGACGTGTGAGATGCAACCACACGAGAAATAAAGAAATAACGAACACATACTCGTATGAAGTCCGCCAATACGCATTGGTGCAGCGCGGTGGACACTTCCTTGCCTTTAACCCTCCCAGAAAAGAGACTGGAACGTATATAAGCTGTATTTTACTCATCGATAATAGGAAAATTTTTGTAGATGTTTTTTTAAATTTTATTTAAATTATATAAATTGAATTCTTCAGCGGGGAACGTGTAATGGGATTAGTCACGGGTGGTGCTGTCAGTACACGTGTTCTGGCTCGTCCCGATTTGTTATGGCCCGTACCAGAGCATTGGAGTCTCGACGAAGCAGCAACAGTACCTCTTGCGTACTGTTTAGCGTTCTACTGTCTTGTGAGTGTCATTAATATGTAGTAGTGATTCTGAAAAATGTATTAGTAATAACTTCTAATATTTAATTCATTTTAGTTAATTTGAAATCTTTATTCACTCTTTGCTAGGAGTCCTTCTCGGTAGGTCACCTTTATTTTAAAGTATAGTGGTGAGGAACGTGCACACATTCCACCTGATGGTAAATGGTAGCTGTGGCTCATAGACATCTACATCTATCCTCAATTACACTCACCATATGAAACTTAGCAGCGTTAAGCTGCTATTTTACGCTGGTGTTCTGTGGGAGCGTGGACCTTCCCCAGTCGTGCCTATCGTTTCGTACTGCAACTATACTACTAATATAGCTGCAAGTATAGCTCTACCACGTAAATATCTCTTTTTAGCCTGTTTCAAAGGGTATAGAAAGTAAAATTAAAGACTGTGCTTTATTCTATCTTAGTCCTTACAAGGGACAACGCGTCTGTTGCCTTCTTTATTCGAAACTGGCCGTGGATGTTCATGCACTGCAGTAGCCACTTACCATCAGACGGGATAACATGTGCATGTATGTTACATGTAAATTTGCTTTAGTATAACACGGAATTTAATATTTCAGGGTATAAAATATAAACTTTGTCCCGGTATGACCGTACTTGTTCACGGAGGTGCCGGAGCGTTGGGACAAGCGGTAATATCGATCGCTTTAGGCCTTGACTGCAAAGTCTTCACGACCGTCAGTGATATCAACAAAAAACGTTTTCTGCGTAAATTGTTCCCGGTGTTAAAAGGTAGTTTTAAACCATTTAATATATTAAAAGTATTTTTCAAATTCCTGTCATGAAAATCAATGATTTTCAAAAAAATCGGGAAGATATTGGTTTCACACCGGTTTTCGAAAATCGAATCATCAGATCTTCACGTTTTGAGGTCCTAGAAAGCTATTCTGTCTACCCTTACGAGGATGTCCCTTCGAATGTGTGTGTGCGTGCGTGCGTGCGTGCGTGCGTGCGTGCGTGCGTGTGTGTGTGTGTGTGCGTGTGTGTGTGTGTGTGCGTGTGTGCGTGTGTGGTGGGGTCGCGCGTGGTGCGTGCGTGCGTGCGTGCGTGCGTGCGTGCGTGCGTGCGTGGGTGGTGCGTGCGTGCGTGCGTGCGTGTGTGCGTGTGTGCGTACGTGCGTGTGTGTGTGTGCGTGCGTGCGTGCGTGTGTGTGTGTGTGTGTGTGTGTGTGTGTGTGTGTGTGTGTGTGTGTGTGTGTGTGAAAATTCTTGTAAACCTATTAAACAGCAGGACCGATCGAAATGCGGTGCACTGCATTCGAAAAAGTTCTATTGTCATCAGCTGTCATTTGAATATAAATCAATTTAGCTCGGCAGATTTTGAGAAATCTCAAAAATAAAATTTTCAAATTTTTTTTAAAATAATTTTTATGTTATTTGAATTAAATTAAAATAAAAATCATTTATTTCGGAATTAGTCCATATCACAAGACATAGATACACATCGAAATCAAAATATTAAATCTAAGCTATAATGCTAATTTTATATCAATTACATAAAAATATTATTTCATTTAAATTAAATTATTACGATTTCTTATAATACGCGAACACGGTACAACAGATAACAGTTAATGTAATTTAAATTTGTTTAGGTACGGAGTACTCAAGTAGTAGAAGTGCATTTAGGGGGAAGGATCGCCGTTAATCCATTTATATTCGCAAGCGCAAACATCCCCGATGCGCTACAGTAGCGTGGCATGGCAGCTTCATCAGTGTCCAGAAGGCGTTATTGTATAGAATGCGTGAGGCATCGTAAAATTTTTTCGTATACTTGACCCATAGGCTACACGTTTGTATGTATTAACCTCAAAAACAACATCAATTGCCGCAAACCGATGATGAACCGATATTGATTATAGTTTCATTCGTTCAAGAGAAAGCATTGCGAAGGTTATAAAAATTCAAAATTTACGAATTTTCATAACTTTCCACCTATTATTTGTCATTATAGGTGGAAGTCATAACAGGTGGGATTTGGAGCGCTTTGCATATGAAATTACATATAATAACAATAGCATAAACATACACAAACGCTCACGCCTGTCACCCAGAGGGGTAGGTAGAGACTAGACTAGACTAGACTTCCATTTATCACAATCCTGATAATATTATTTTACAGAATTTGGGTGACAAACGTAAGTAGATGCTGTGGCCTATAGACATTTATACATTACCCCTGAAGAGTAAGATGGAATGCCTCGATTCCAGTAAGACAGTTCTTCAGTTATCTATACTCACCATACGAAAGATAGCAGCAATAAGCTGCTATTCTGTGATAGTGTGGTCTTTCCCCGGTCGAGCCAACCCATTCGTGCTACAACCATATATATATATATATATGCTATAATAAAGTAAAACTAAAACTTCAGTGATCATATTATAGCCGTCGCGGTATAGTGCCAATAACGCTTTTACGTTTCCTCGCTAAATAGCTTGAGCTTTGAGCGAGTAAAGAACCAACCCTCTTATCACCAGTGGTGACGATAATTATTTTATTGGTTTTATTTTATTTTCTTTTAAGATTTCTTCATAACAATGTTTAATTTAGTGTTGGTATATAACAACCTTTTCATTAAATATAGATTATTGAAAGTAACTCTTTTCTTTATCTTTAAACTCGAAAAGATCTTCTTTCAGGGATCCCAATTACCCGATTTATATGAAATGGAGCTGTGTATTCTCCTATGTCATATGTTTGTGTTACGTTATATTAATACAAGTAAGTTTTTAATGGTTTATGAACCGAAATTAATATCCAATACCCCATATCCTCCCATGGGGGTAGTCAGAGGCACATAGAGGGAACCAAACTTGGAGATGAGCGGCAGCGTCTCTGTGCTAATAACTAGAAAATAACAGAATGCGGTTTTCAACCCGCCTGGTAATAATAGCAACTACCCCCTTATGAGGCAATCTAAGGCGATAACTATATTCAGCAGTGAACTTTGATAAGATGTAATGATGATAATTTCGTAGCTTCTTTGGTCTAGAGATCGTAAACGTTCCATCTGTGGGAAGGTCCATGTATAGCGATGGAATTTAATAGGTTTTAATGATTTTGTTTATTGTTTCAATTGAAAATTTCAGATGACCAGATAGGGAGTTCACGCGACTCAACATTTGCAGACATGGTATTCACGTCAACGAATGGAAACGGTTGCGACATCGTCATTAGCTGTATTTCTGGTGATCTTAAACACGTAAGTTTCTATTTTTTTTATAATATACTCCGGACCGAATATCTATCACCAATCTGCGGAGAACAGGATTACGGTGCCCGAGTGTTTGACATATTATTTTCATCATATCATTCAGATACTAAGCTAACTAATTACCGCTTAGTACCTACTATACCTTAGTACCTATATATATCGTTATAACTGAAAGGAGTTCAGTGACAAACGTGAGTTATCACTGAAGTCCCAAACAGCTGGACCGATTTTTCGTGTGTTTGAGTGGTTCCGTGAATGGTTTGGATTGACAATTCGACCCAGTATGTAGCGCTGCCACCACCGGCTGTAGTAAATTTTGTAATTGTACGTGCTTAGGTGCTCGTTGGTGAAGGAATTATGTCCTTCAGACGAAATTTCAGTCACGGCGGCTACGTTCAGTGAAGATTTGCCATCTGCGCAGGATATAATTATAATTTACGAGTGAATGCGCAAACAAAGTTGTACTCTTACTCTCACAGCCCGATGGGAGGGCAATGCGACACGACCGGAGAAAGATCAGACGTAGGACCGACGTAAATATGAAAAACCCCGAACTTCCTGACACCGAGCTGCTACTGCGAATTCCTTACCAGAAAATAATTTCTTACCCGGGGTTTGAACCCTTATGATCAGCAGTCGCATTCACGACCACTGGACCAACGAGGCAGTTGTCATTTTTTTATAACTATAAAATAAGAAAAATAATCAATATACTTACAATGTTTCTTTTTCAGATATCCATAAAATGCGCTGCATCGTATGGTGTAACGATCGATACGGCGCAAATTACAACCCGAGATAACTTTTATTTCGGAATGCATAGCATGACTAAAGGGCGGTCGTACATAGCTATTCACTTCATTCAGCTTTTTGATCAAGAATGTAATGTGGAATTAAGAGTAAGCACTTCTTTACGGTAACAATTCTTAAAAGAAACTAAAGTAAAACAAAATAATTTTAGTATTTTTTCCGAGTAACAGCAAATCATTATATACTACTTTTTATCACTTTTTACTACATGCAGAAAATTATTGTTGTTTATTTTACCGCCCCAGAAGGAAAGCTCTGTCTCGCTAGCAACGCAAAGTCACTAGTTTTCATTTAGAAAAAGCCAAAGTTAGGGGCTTTTTAGTTGCTTATTAGGTGCCACGTTTAAAAATTAGGCGCTCTGAAAATTTCAACGTAACGAATACGTGGCTGGGAGATTGTATCTCTAGGAACGTAGGGAAGATAATGTATATGCGATAAATATTAATAGCAGGGAATTAAGTGCTAATTAAGTACTGAAGGATTATTGAGGTCGGATGTGGATGACGGTAATATTCTGAGAATTATGAGCTCCATGACCACCATTAATGTATGATATAAGATAAGTCGAATTTATATTAAAGCTTTTGCGGGCGGGGACTGCACTTCCCGCAGCATCGAATCCGTTGCAATAGTAACTGTGACAATATCGCTGTGTAAAAATGTGAGTTGTGTTTTTGAAATCACTTAATTAGCAATTAATTATCAAATTAATTCTATACCTGAATTGATTCCGTTCTGATTTTCAGAACATCTGATTTTTGTATCTGTTTTGTTAATAATAAGGGCTTTATTTTTATTAGGGGAACCTTGTTACTGCCTTCACTTGCGGCACATAATTAGCACTTAATGCCTTGCTATTAATTTTTATCACTTAGCTATTATCGTCACTGCGTTGCTAGCGATACGTTTTGCAACGCAAATTTCAAAGTTTTAGAGTATTTAATTTTTAAACTTGACACCCAATTAACTAGGTTTACATAAAGGTATAGGCCTTTTACCTACCATACAAACAAGAAGTATTTTTATTAGAAATTATTTTATCAACAAATTAATATAGTTACAAAATTTTCATTCATTGCACTGTTTTACATGAAAAATGATGACTACATAATACAAACAAGATTATAAATAAAATTTAATAGATTGGATTACTTCAATCAATTATATGTATCTGAGCGTGACGGTCACGCCAGTTCAGTGCTTTTTCCTCAGCCCAATGTGCATAAAGAAATTTTCACTTCAAACTTAATCAAAACCGGTTCCTCAGTTTAGCAGCTCTGATGCCATATAGATACATATACACAGATATACAGCACAAACTTATAACACCCCTCTGTTTTCTCGTCTTTTTTTCTTTGTTGGTTTGAGCTTGCGAGTGAAATTAGTTATGTAACATTTTTAATAGAAAATACAGTTGATGGTGTCTGAGGGCATTAAGCATGGCTACGTACGTCCGTTATCACGAGTCTTGTATGCCCCCATGGACGTTTCTCGTGCCTTCCGCCTGTTAGCCGCAAGTCAACACCGTGGACGTGCACTAATCCAACTTCAATCTAACAATAATACACAAGATGGGCTTTTTCCATACTTTAAACCTAGGTAAATTGTATTCATTATTTTCAAATACTATACTATTTATTACTGCTTAGGACCTACTTTCTAATTTAATGAAGACACTAAACTAAGCGCTATCGCTGTGAATTTTATAGTCCCCTGGCAATCACAGTTTGATTTACGCCGACCTATAAAAACTGTTTGTTGATTATAGTTGATTTATTATCTCGTACATGCCGGTTTAGGAATAATGTTATCTAGACCAAACTCCGGTCTTTGCGGCAGGCGTTGCAACGGACAACTGTTATGGGGCACGAGTGTGTGCGCAAATACAGAATCACTCTCGCTCTCATAGCACGATTGAACGGCAATGCGACAAAACTAGAAAGAAATCAGACACAGAATCAATGGCTTTACAAAATTTTTGTGGCACGGGAGTGAAATACCGCCAATTTTCTGACTCCGAGTTACTACTGAGAGTTTCTTGATAGAAAAACCCAATAACTAATTTTGGCTGAACCCGGGATTTGAACTCAGGACCTCTTGTCAAGCAGTCGTGCTTACGACTACTGGATCAACTAGACGGTTACAAGGAAAACACCCTGAAGAATCCTGTTTGTTAGAGAAATGTAATATTTCGGGGAAAAAAATTCCGCAAGCACGCAATGTAACAGTCGGCGCGGCGGTGTAACTTAATCCTCTTAAAAATGAGAGGAAACATCTGTCTAGCAGTGGTGCGTATATTTAACTAACTTGTTACATTCTTTTATGTAACAGTCGTTTCCGGAGGTAACTAAAGTATAAACTATATGCTGTCTGACATTTTATCTTAATATTTAGGATTAACAAAGCATCTGTGGCTGTATTTGTTTGATTGCAGATGTCCATAGTGTATTGAAGTCACTTGCTATTATCACTTGTCATTCAAATATAAAAAAGATTTAGCCTAACCTGTATGAACTGAATTGATTTTAGAGTGTTTTTACAGTTTTATATTTCGTCTTACCGTTATGTACAACTGCTGAAGTAAGAGTTTTTTATTACTAATGTATACATTACGGTAATATTAATTTTCAGGTTGTCCTGCTCTTCAGATTTAAGTCAAGTAATATTTTGCAACAATGAAAATTTAGGTTTACAGTTTGCAAAAAAATTAGTTAATCGTGGCGCTCGTAAAATTTACTTGCACTCTTTAAAACATTCTGAATATCTTGACTTTGAAATCCGGTATGTCTATATTACTATGTTTCTTTAGTTAATTTGGAATTTATTTCTCGTTCATGTAACTTAATAGAAGGATTTAATTAACAGTTCACTGGTAAAACACGGTGTTCAAGTAAAGCTTACCAATGAAATATTAAAAAGTGAAAACGATATTACAAACTTGTTAAATGATTGCAACAATCTCGGCACCGTTGAAGGCATTTACATAGTAGGAACAAACGAAATGTCTGATGCTGGATCAGAAAATTTAGTTAGACTACTGGATTTAGTTTCAAGAAAACTTTGTCCACGCATTAAGTGAGTAAATATCAAATGAAATTCTTTTACATATTTTTAATAGAAATTGTAGTACAAGAGCGATAACATTGTTACTAAAAACTGATGGTAATCTACTCTGTAATCCTGTATTAAGATGACAGATACTTTTGATCGCCTTTTTAGTAACAAGTTGTTTTAAAAATGTCATGCAACTACTTAGTACCACAATTATAGTGTTTATAACCTTAAATTTGGACGAATAATATAATCTATAAAATTTTAATCATTGTAAAAATGAAGCATTCTCTGAATTAGTCAATAATTCGATAATATTGTTTTATAGGCATTTTGGAGTGCTCAGCATTAATGTGGACACTGGTCTTCATGTCTGTATCTCCAGAGCTCAAGATAGGTTGCCAGTGACGTTATTGAAAGTACCCGCCATTAAAAAGGTATAGCTTATATCTAATAATGACATTCATATCAAGGCACTGAGACTGCCAGAGAAATTTATAAAGTAGGAATATTAAAGCACGGTAACAATACTTACTGGGCACAAGCGTTGTTGTCCTTGTCGTCGCCATACAAGCAAATACATTTACCGAAGTGTTCGGTAATGTCCCTTTTCGTTTATTTCAGCGCCAATGGAAACGCAATTAAATGGGACGATACGCCAATACCACGGAATAGATCTGTACCATAAGGTTTGGATATTTTTTAAATAAGGGTGACAACGAGCTGTTAGGAGGGCCGCTCTGAAGGTGTTTTTTAAAAAAAAAAACTTTTTACACCCAATCCCGGAAGTTCTTTTGGTTTATTTCCCCAATATTATATTAATACAAAAAATGTACAAAAGCCGCGAACGGCGTGTGCGATATGCACTTAATATGGGTTGGAGCTGCACTGCCTCGATTACCTCAAACTCTAGGCTTTGATACTAAATATAATAATCGATTCAGCGCTTTTAACTAACTAGTGTTGGACATAACATCTCAAGAAATCAGTGGTATGCGTAATATAAAATTATTCTTTTATTATAATAAAAAGATGTGAGTTTTGAAATATCTATCAGAGTATGTATATTTTCAATCGTTAATGGTACTGGAAAATCTATTTTTATAGATTTTTACAATAACTACATATTTTAATAGGATTTTTGTCTGAGGTGTTATGCGAATTAGAAGAAGGGTTATTATTTTGCGGATTAACATAATAAGCTCGATGAGATTGTTTTTTCCTATGATTATAGCAGTTAGAAGAATCATGACCGAATTTTTGACAATTAGAACATTATAAGATTTAGAAGATATTTTGCTCAGAATAAATAGTTTTTCTTCTTCTATAGCATGCGTAATCGCCTCGCTTAAATTTTTCGAATTTCGGCATCTAACAATATATCCGTAATTAGAATTTAAACTTAATATAAAAGTGTTGAGGGCTAAATCCATAGCTGCTATTCTTCCTACTAGCTCGGACTTATTTTCGCAACTATAATATATGTCGGATTGTAATCGCGTTAAACAAGATTCAATTCTAAGCGAATATTGCATTAGAGTTTCCGAATTTTCCTGTCTACGATTTTGGAGTTCAATTAAAAGGTGTGTTCAATTAAAAAGATTCTCTATCGCCATTGTAAAGTTTGATAAATTTTGTAAGGACGGATAAAGGAATTTTGTCTGGTTTGTCCTTTAAAGTTTTAACCTTATGCATGTGGAATTAGAAAGATTTAGGAGTTAGGAAATACAAAATTGGTAAAATGGCAATATTATAGTACACAATAAATGACAAAAAAATTTAAAGAAATAGAAAAAATGGTATAAAATTATCGGTAAATTAATGTTAACTTACAATATCACGAACACTACGGTGAACATTGGTTGCTATGCCGGTGTCGTGTTGCGATGACGCGCAGCGGAGTCTCGTTGCCGTGAGACCCAGGGAGTCGTTTGACGGCGGCGTCCACGTGGTTGTGCGGCGGGAGTACAGCAGCTCAGGGCAGGCTCACACGCTGGTGGTGTAGACTGACAGCCTTGATCAACTTCGGGTTGACGACGATAATGTCCCAAGCTCGTGGGGCTGAGACCTCGTTGGTTTTTTGATGATGCAGGCTCGCACTCGTGGGGTGGAGACTTACTGTCGATCTTTCTTCAGAGTTTCTCAGGATTCGGATGCCACGCTACCGATGTACCAGTCGACCTTGTGACATCCCACTTCTGACCCCAAATTTGTTAGGAGGGCCTCTCTGAAGGGGTTTTTAAAAAAACTTTTTACACACAATCTCGGAAGTTCTTTTGGTTTATTTCCCTAATATTAAATTAATACAAAAAATGTACAAAGCCGCAAACGGCGTGTGCGATAGGCACTTAATATGGGTTGGAGCTGCACTGCCTCGATTACCTAAAACTCGATAATCGAGTCAGCGCTTTTAACTAACTAGGGTTGGACATAACAGAGCGCACAATACACCTGATGGTAACTAGGTGCTGTGACCCAAAGACATCTACATCTATCTTCGGCTAAGGAACAAAATTTAGATTCATTGCCAGCCCGGAGGAATAAGATTGTGCGCCAGGTTTCAACACTCAACATAAGAAGCACAGCAGAATTTAGCCGCTAAAGTGCATTGAAATCCTGTGAGAGTGCGATCTTTACCCATAACCTTGACCCAGCCCATTCGTGGTAGAACTATAATATAGCTGTAGCATGGCCTTATCACGCACAAAACTTGTAATGTTTTGTGCGTGTGCGTTTTGTTGATACAAATTCTCCTCAAAAAGCTAAATAATTACGTCCTAAGTATCTCATTTCTGAAAGCTTTGTGCAAATAAGCGTCCACTGTACTGATCAACATGTGTTGGGAGATTTCACAATTCCTATAAATACTTTGAACGTCTCAGGTATACAGATTTTCTGACGTTGTTTAACTTTAACCTTCAGCATGTAGGAAATCAGCACTTAACATTGCATTTAACAATGTCATAATGGTGTTGGTTCGAATCAAACTCAGTTAGCTCGTGCACTTGAAAGGCTAATGAATATTAAAATTATTTCATATAACTCGCTTTTTCATTACTTAGGTGGGGTTAACTGAAGGTCCGCTTACTAATGAAATGATATCAGAAGTTGATGCAATCAACACTTTTGAACGTGCGTTGCGGTACCATGAACCTGTAATATTTGCTCGAGTTCGCCCGATGCAATCTCATACTCTTTTAGACAAAATCGCAAATGTAGCTGGTAATATTCAGTATTTTTTTTATGTTTATTAAAAAATTAATACGACCATTTCCACTTTTTATGTTGAAATTTTTCAGGGGTTGAAGTACCTACTGATGTGGTGGAAACAGCTACTTTATCAGATTTAGACTTTCAAGTTGATAGATCTAAAATGGTTTCTACATACCTTAGTGATATTCATAACATTTCTATATCAGAAGAAGCGGTACCCAAATTGACAATTCAAAAGTACGTTTTATTTTTAAAATAATGTATTTAATATTATTAAATTTATAATTATTGACTATAATTTAAAAGTTTATATGTACGTTGTTTGTGTGCAAATAATAAAATGTTTAACATGTTTTTACAGAATACGGGAAATAGACGAAACGATAAATGATATGGAATTTAAGGACACAAAGGGCTTAGAGACATTTTATTCCCATGTCGACCGCGACGAACTACTTGTGACTACTGAAATGGTGTTCTTGCCAACTCTTGCGAATAGTTCTGCTATGGTGAGGAAATAAAAATAATTTCAGTGGTGGCAACGGCTACCGTTCTTGTGTTGCTTCGAGGGCTTGAACCTCTATTTATTATTGCTTATTTATTTATTTCCTTATTTCAGCGTGATGACGAATTTGATGTTAGTCAGACGTACTTGTGTATTATACCTGGCTTGGAAGGACATCATGTACGTTTCCGTATTCTGTGTGAACGCCTAAAGTTGCCTGCTATAATATTGCAGCCGGGTCTTGATCGCCCCGATGAAACTATATCTAATCTAGCTCAGCGATATGCCGAGGTAATTTTCAATATAAAATTTGCAAAATTGTTAATGTGTAAAAATCTTTTAATTCATATCGTTTCTTATATGATATAAGAGTCGACTATGAGGAGCGTCGTTAATACAACGATACAGCCTATAATAATGAATGACGTTATCCGAGCGGAATTCAAACCCGCGCCCCTCAGAGCCACGGAATTTTATTATTCTCACTTCTCATTTGTAAGATACCGTTGCTCATCTTATGTTTCTGTTTCCATCTGTCGCCTTATACGACACACATATGAGATTATATTATAACAATAATTTATTTTCAAAATGCAAGGTAACGTCAGCTTAACGGTTAAGGATTCGGACTACGAAACTCAAAAGTCGTGGGTTCCGATTTGCCATTCGATTATTGTTGTGAACAAACCTATCAAGAGCATTTTAAATTTAGCTGAAATGGTTGAAAGGGTATTAGCAGTGTTAAAAGAATGGGTAGTATTGTTTTAAAAATACTTAAATACCCAGACCGACGACGATTAGTACAAAAGATACTGTAATGTTAATGATACTGTGATACTGTAAACGTCAAACGCTACCCGTCACGCTTCAAGCGCTAAGCAAAGCCTGTGTCTTCATGTCCATCAATGGAATTTTATAGTTATATTATTAAATTGATAATATATTATTCTTCTTCATATTATCTTTAACAGCCTTTTAAAGTCCAGTGTTGGACATAGGCAAAATTGGTCTAGCTAGCATGTATTACTTGATATCCCCATACTGGTTATTCCGTTGTCCTTGACCTCAAACGTTCATCAAACAGAATGGTGAAAAGATATTATAATGTTCTTATGTTTTTAAAAAAATCAATTTGCTATTTTAGTCTTGTGTTTGATAGTGAAGGGTTAGGCAAAAATCAATTATTTGGTTTTACTGTCTGTAAGAAATTCTCAGTAGCAATGCAGAGTCGTGAATAAGGTGGTGTTTCACACACGTGCCTTAGAAAGTGAAACCGTTAGACCTGCGTCTGACCTCCCTATATTTTAATTAGATTTCCGCTCCATTGGATTATGAGAGTGAGGGAATGGAGACTTCATCTGCTTTTGCGCACGCCAATTTTTAATCTCCATTGAGACTGACTACAATCGCCATGATCAAAATTCAGTTTGAAAAATACTATTAATAATATTACAATCAATCAACATTAAAATCAAGTGGAGGTAGCATAAAAATGTCGAGATTGAGGGTTACAATATTTCTCGCAAATATTGGCCTAAATCGGAATTCGTACATAGAATCCATAAATAGGATCTCTTTTTAATTATTCGTGTATGAGCACTTACCATGCTTATTAATCCTTTTTACAGTTAATATTATATTTCCGATATTATCTGCTTACAGATACTATTAAAGAAGGCTCCACTGAAAGAAAACTTTTATTTATTGGGTTATGAAAGCGGATCTTTAGTAGCATTGGAAATGGCTGCTATTTTAGAAGATCATGGTAATAAATGTTATTTAAAATTATATTGTTTCGTGTATTCATGTTTAAATAAATGAGAATAATTCGTAAGAAGGAACGGCATCATGATTTCATTCTTTTGTCGTTAATTTTAGTTGTTTTTTTTTTAATTATTTTTGATTAGGTACTATATTAGTGTATATAACTTAAAAGTATCAAACTGTATATGTCAAATATTGCAAATGTTTTAGAGGCTTAAATTTTTTTATAACTCCAGGTTTAACCGGGACCGTGTTTTTCGTCGGTGAATCTCCAGAAGAAGTCCAAAGCACTATAAAGGAACGACTTATGGAGTATGACTCTGATGAAGCATTACAGATTGCAGTCGCAAAACATATTGTCAAATTAATAGTAGGTGGTGGCACAGATAAATTAGAAATTGCTCTATGCCGTGTACCAACTTGGCAAGAAAAGGTTGAAGTATGTCTTCGTTCCATCTTAGGCAGAGTATCACACTCTGTACAGTATGCGCGGGAACTTATAGAATCTGCATATGGTAGAATAAAGCAAGTGCTGTGCTACAACTTAAAAGTACAAGCGCTGCGTTCTAAATTAGTATTAATACGAGCGGCATCATCCACAGGCAATCCCGAAGCGCTTTCCTTGCAACGTCATTCACAGCAACCTATTAGTATATACCAATTGCGTGCTCCTTTGGCCTATACTACTGTGGATTTACGTTGCTCCGCTGTCATTAACAGCCATCTAAATACCGAGATATTGAAGGCGTTTGAAAAGAAAAATCTCTGTGACTCTTACCTGTTTAATGCCGATGTGTTTATGAAAATGGATGCAACTATCACTTCTTAACTTCATGAATAACCTGTGTTGATATTTTATTTAATATTAATAATTTTTGTGGCGTTTATTTGAAATAAATTGCTTAATGCAATATTTTTTGTTTTAATAAATACCTCTCTCATTAGAAAAATAAAGCCCACATAGGAATAAACAGCTATTTACTAATGAACTAATTTGATCCGTAAAAATATTCATGATAGTCTTTGGTTTACTGGGGCAATGTTTGGTCAAGCTATGTTACAGTAAGGACCATAAAATTAAAGAAATATCCTCCATATTTTTCAAATTAAATATAGCCCCATTCATTCCTAGAATTGCTTTCTATCTGTTTGTGAAATTTCATCACAAGTGGTTCAGCGATTTTAGCCCGGACAGACAGCTGTTTGCTAATAATTATATCTCATTAAGTAGAAGTTGAGTTATAAAAGTAAAATAAAACATTATGTTTGAGCATGGACATGCTCCCCGTCCCCAGGAATCCACCCTGGTGGATGGCGGATCCCAGGGGTGAAGGTGTGGAGGTGAAATGAGACTACTATATAATATCTTAAGTATATTCTCGTACCACACTGGATTCCTGGATCCGTGGAAAGACAATCAAATTTAGCAAACTACGGCCTTTAAACTCTCAAACCCCTAGCGGTTTCATGAGACCACGGTCATATTCCGTCAAATCCCTAGCGGTCTCATGAGGTCGTACTTACCCACAGCACTTTAACTCATAAAAACTTATATATAGAGACTACTTTTCTATAAAGATGTTTAGCATTATATAATCAATATGAAATACTCTATCCTCTAGTGCAATAAAAAACTGTTATCCTATGAATATTTCTACGTTTATTTAGTACGCCATTTATGCGTGAATGTTATTGTGTTGATTTTTGGATTTTTCTAGTGATTTAGTTTAGTGTTTTATTATAAAATTCTAATGACAGTTTTTGTGTGAATATACTTTATATTTTTACGTAAATAATTTCGAGTAATATATAATGAAATAATTGTGATTTTCACGCTGTTGATATTCGCTTGCTACGTTTTTTTTTGATATCAAAATATAATAAAATCTTTTTGTAATGAAGTAAAACCTGACCTGACTTTTGTTTAGACCTCAAGATAGAAAATTTTGTATTGATTTTAAATTACTGAACTTTTTCATAGAAAAGTAGGCTCTAAATATAAGTTTTAATGGTTTTAAGTGCTATGGGTGGGTGCGGTCGCATGCAACCACTCGGGATTTGCTGAGCGCATGCGACTGAATAGGATTTTTATGGCGCTTGAAGGGTTAAGCAAATAAAGTTGGTCAAACCATATCGCGATACAATTACCGTACAACGCCATCTGTCATCGATGATGCTAACTATCGCAACATAATTGCAGCACAACGCCATCTGTTTATCGATGACTAAATTACGTTGAACACCATCTGTTTATCGATGACTAAATTACGCTGAACATATTATTTTCTAAAAAGATTTATTCTTAAAATGATATTACATTTTATAAAAGGCTGTGCCGTGCCATAGCTTCAATTAAGTTATTGTTTGGAGTAGTCTAGTTTAGAATAAAAAGTTTTTGGTTATATTTTTTGTGATTAAAATTTTTTACGGGTAGTATGTACATTTTTATGTAATTATATTTTTACTCATCATCTTATAATATTTAAGCACTTTAGTTGTTTTATCACATCAAAATAAATATAATATAAACGTTTCAAGACCGTTTAAAGTATGAAGGGAAAATTAGAATCATAATTATTCACGTCGCATAGTCAAATAGTAGTGGTGGGCGCGCCATTAAGGAGGTAAATAGTAGACAAAATCTCCGTACACACACGACTTGTACATACAAGAGCACGCGGAGGCGTAAATCACATTCAATTTTGGATATTTTCAAATAAATGTAGAAACCTTATTTATGCGTATTTTTAAAAACTGCAAAATTAGATATCAATATTTATATTTTGAACTTTTGGTCATGGTTAGGAAAGGGGAGATTCAAGGTGTTCATCCCGGAGGGCGGCCAATGCTCCAAGCGGTAGTTCGAAGATATTCTATTTATATGGCTTTACTTCGGAATTTTGATAGCGCGATTTAGGCTTCGATGTGTTTCGCTTGTGGTGCGACGACTGCGCCGCCACATCACCCCTATGCTCAGACTGGGTGTCGATAGTGTAGTTCAATTGCCGGTGCGTCCTTAATACCAGAAGTCTATTCTTATATATTTTCGGTGAGTCGAGATGACGATAAGTTGGACTGGCTTGCAGTAACTGAAGACAGCAGATGATTTTTCTCAGGACTGAATGGTAGGGGTTCTTAAGGATAATAACGAAAGCTTTAAGTTGTAGTATCCGAAGATTGTGGGTCACGTCGTTTTCGATCACGTTGGGTGGTCACCAATTCGGCGGTGAAAGGAAAAAGGGAGATCTCCGGACAGACAAGGTGGTTGGCGAGTAGAAAACGCTCCAAGTGGTAGTTCGGAGCTATTCTGTATATACTGTCTTTCTTTGGAACTTTGATAGCGCGATTTAGGCTTCGTTGTGTTTCAACTAAACTAAACATCTGCTGATAATTTTCAAACAAAGGCTACAGATGCCTTGTCACCTCCGAGGAGGATTTTCTGCCTAGGAGTTCGTTGGGCAGGTATCACCCTCTGTCATAATTCTGGCGACGAAAAGCAGTGTACAAGCGATTTTTTTCATATAGTATCATTAGACGTAACGTGTCAAATTACTTTCAAAGTTTTTATTTTTTAGACCTTCAATAATAAAATTTTATGGAAACGTTAATAGTGAACTGCAGAAATAATTATATCAAGGAGCTGCAATACTCTTACTAAAAAGTCAACTTATAAACGTCAAAGCCAAGATGGATGTTCACGGAGCCACGCAGATTGCGTGGCTCCGTGAACATCCATCCGAGCTTTTAGCAAAAAAATATGATTTTAAAACGTACATACTCAACGTTGACACTTTCATGACTGCTAGTGCCCTAAATACCATAAATAGTTTTTGTTTTATTCCAAGCCAGCACTTAACCACAATCTACCTGATTGTAAGTGAAAATTTAGCGTAAGATGATGAAGCAAACTGACTTAACAAAAGCCTATTCACTCTTTCCTTGAAAACACCCACATTGCAATCGGATGGATAGACAGATTCTGGCTGCTTATTCCACTCCTTTGCTTTACGCATGATTAATAATATCACAAACGGTTTCGTTCAAATTTGTAGTAAGTCAATAACGAAAAGCTGCCGACTGGCCGAACGTCAGGTTGTCCGATATTGGAAGACAGAGGGAGGAATCAAGTTATGCGATTCCTGAGTACTTTTTCCTAAATGCGTCCTGTACTTTGCGCCTGTGTTCGATGCCGGTAAGATTGATTTTTACTAGATCCGGGTCCCCAATAATCTTTCTAGAACGTCTTTCATTAAGACCAAAGCTGCTAGGTGGCATTTTGCTGCACCAGAGTCCGTGTTCAGTGCAATTGTCTGTGTAAATATTATTTTTATTGCAACAGCGAAGGTTAAGGTTATTAACAAATATGTTTTGAATTCGCTCAAGGCGGCTTTTGTAAACACTGTGGGGACAATATCGAACTAGCATATTGCAATTGTTTTATACATACGCGGTATTAACCATTTTAATTGCATTAATATCCGAGATTTCTATAGACTTTGCTGATAACATAATATTGAAAATGTAGCTGACATTTTTAATTGGTTTCAGATTTATAATTAAAACGGATTTATAATACTTTGCGATACTTAGTTAATAAAGAGGTGCAATGAGAATGTTGTATTCAGATTTAAATATAATGAGTAAATTAAAAATCAAAATTTTATATATTATATTTTTAAATAATATAAACATTGGTGCGTCTGTAAGCGATCGTGTTTCTTCTGAACATGTCATATGTTATAGAAGGGAGTAAAGATAGAAGAGTATATTTGCCATAGTTCTTTTAAAATTGCTTTTTCTTAAGCAAATGCTGCTGCTCATCTCCTGATTTAGTTTCCCTCAGTCACCTTTTACGACACCCACGGGAAGATAATGAGTAATGGAATCTCTTACGCCGCTACTACACGGTAGCGCATAGATTACTGTGTATATACTAGAGATAGATGTGCGACTCAAATTTTATTTTCGTTACTGATACGTGCTTTGAATAACAGATGGCGCTAAATAAAAAGTGCTTTATTATTAAGCACTTTGATGCTTTAAGCTCGCCCTTTATAAGCACTTTACATTTTATATTTTATATACAACCATCAATTACATTGCACAAGTGCTGCAATGTAATTAATAGTTGTTTATGTTTCTTGTGCTAATTGTTAGTTTCTGCTACAAAAAAAAACCGGTTATTTTTAAAATGTTTATTGTTTAAAAATTCTTGGCTTAATTATTGATTAACATTAGATGTGTTAAATTTATCAATATTTGCACAATATCAATTGATTTCTTTATACAATGTCTCTACTGGTTAGTTGATATATTACAGAGAATAGAATAATAGTATTAATAATAATATAATTTTCATTTATTTTATTTTTATTCAATATAGATTATTACATAAAACTTATTGAATGCCATGTTTTATTCACAACTGGTTCGACTCTTTTTAAAACATATTTCACTTTACAATAATTTTGTTTGTATTTTTTAAATAAACAAGCATAATGGCGATCACCTCATTCCCAGAATGTTATTTTTATTGATGTATTCTTTGATATTATAAAATACTTTTTGTACATTTTTCCTTTAATAAAACATTTAAACTTGTTAAATGACAAATTTTGTACATTTTCTGGGATTTTGTTGTAAAAGCGTATAGACATTGCCCCATAAAAGTACTACTGGTTCCATGGAGTCTAGTAACTGGTATTAAAAGCTATGTTTATTCCTAATGTTTATAGTATGAACATCTTTATTCCTATTATATATTATGAAAGCTATTTATGTTTTTATGTACCTACATACATTACATTTTCATAATTATAATGCAGTTTA